TTAATGTTTGACCCATCTTGGCTTTGTCTGGGTTGAACCTCATTATAATAATTAATAATTTACAGCCCTATCTCAATCCGCTGATGAATAAAGGCCTCCCCACATCATGTCGATCACGAGGTTTGGGCTAAACTTCACCACGCAGGTGAGTGCAGGTTGATAAAGATGGGCTGGTGGGGTGGGGTGGTGCCCAGGACCATTTCGAATATCACTCGCCACTGATTTTAGCCGTAGCCGGGATTCAAACTCAGACCTCTGGGGTTTGTTTTCGCAGTTTGCTAACCGCTGCAGCAACTCATTAGCAGGACACAAATGTTTGCAAGACCTGGATTGCTATCCAGACAGAGGATCCTTTGGAATATCGACCTCCCATTCAGTCAATTATTTGTGGAATAACTTAACAGCTATTGATGTAAACTCTACCTGCACAGATATTCCCAACATCTGCACATACAGGGAGGGCATCTTTAAACAAATTGTGTGCATGTACACGAGCGTGTATGAAACAATCTTTACACAGACACACGTGTATAGAGCAATTGTGAAATTACACATGCAGAAGGACAAGGTTCTTTACGTATAATCTGTACACAATACGCAGATCCAATTATAGATACCCCACTAAATAAGCAAGAAATTATAGATAAACCAATGGTTTTATTTTCAAAGCTTCTACATGTCTCTCACCATTTTCGATGCACTTATTAAATATTCTTTAGCGCTCTCCCTCTGATAGACGCAAAACTATCGATTTCACAATACAGTACTGTATATTCAATATGGTAACCTGTTGGAAAGAGGGTCATTAGAAATCAGTGTGATATCAAAATTGGATCACCCTGTATAACAACGTGCACAAGACGGGGCTGAAGCAAGGATCCTGCCCCTTCCCAAAAGTTCCACGGTTCAGCTCTGGTCCTCGAGCACAGACGAACTGCTTCTTGTGCTTAGTTTGTTGTCCTTTCCCCCCCCGCACCTCCGATTAGCAGGGATGGCCGCGTGCGGCGCGAAAGAAGTTCAACGTACACATGCGTCACGCTCGTTCAACCGAGCACAAAAGCGTCGAACATCTGAGAGCGACGCGTCGGCGACTTGAGCTCGCGCGGCGCCGCCTTCGAGCCGTCCACATGGGAAGGTTCGTGGACGAGAAGCGTTCCTCTGTCCACGTGGCGTCTCCTCCCCCCTGCATGCTTGGCAATCACTCGCTACTCGCTCGCAGGTTGAACACATTGCACACCAACAGCAACCGAGTGCCGGGGCTTCTTGCGTTTAATGTTACAGTTCGTTTCGGGTGAAGCAGACGGTTTGTGTGCTATAGGCGGAGCGACACGCGGCATCGAAATAAAATGTCAGGAAGGACTGTGCTGGCAGTCGTGCAGCAACCGAAGCCGGACCCACACAAAAATAAATACCTGACCATTGTCTTGAAGTAGCACCGTCTTACACGGGAAAGGCATAGACCCGCAGAGTTATCTCTCAATTATTTGTTGGCAGATTATCCAGGTCGCAGTTCAAGCAAGCTTGGAAGAAATACCAAAAATGTGTGTAAGCCGCTCCTCGCTTGTCTGGGGGTCAGCGGACTCGGTGCTCCCGCGAGCGTAAACGTGTCGGCAAGCAAAGCAATTGCTTGTGCAAGGGGAACACACGTGCTCTTCAACCCTCATTCTACGTTATTTCAACGATTAAAAAAAAAATATTTTCCAGCCTAATTTACATATGGCTCACATCACCTGTGATTGTGTTAGCCACGGCATTCCTTAATTCCCTTCCCATTACCCCAGATAACTGAGAGTTGACTCATGGCAATTACAGTATTATTGTTTTACGGTCAATACATTAATACAAATTTGTTATAAGACGGCACATTTTTTGGTGATGACGGTGCCGAGATTTTTTAAAATTTTTATTCGGTCCATGCGAGCAAAAACCGTAAGTTGTGTGTCCATAAAACATTCAAGACGGCCGTATAATAAATCGGTGAAAAATGTAACGAGCCATCACGACGCAGGCAACATAATCAGCCGATGAACGAGAGCGCATGCCGTGCGGGTCTGCGACGGGGTGTGAGCCCAACAACAGGCGTTGACATTTGGCTGTCACAATCTCGGCTCACTCCGAACGAGTCCGTCGAGCAACCTGCACAGCGCCGCTGGAATGATGGCACGTCCAGCCCTATACTTTAATCAGACGTTAGAGCAAGCCAAAGCCATCGGTCATCATCAATCTAACACAGCCGTGTTCCAAGCAGCATTCCCCCGATCGCCTCGGCACCAAAGCCAGTGAGTGATTATTAGACGACTAATCATGGACAAACCACAGGTGCACAATGATAAACCCATACGCAAGCAGTAAGAGTGAGCAGTGAAGGGGGCGGGAGGGAGAGGGACTGAAGGTTGGGGTGAGAGGTGAAAGCCAGGGGAGGCAAGGAAGGGGACTGGCAGTGATGTTATTTGACTGGACAGGCGAAAGAGACCTCTGCACAAATGGAATTAAGCAGCGATGCCTAGTTTAGACTGGGACCAGCGTGTGTACAGTCTCCCTCTCGTGTGCATTTGCGTACCATACGCCTCTGCCGATGCCAATGCATGTGTTTGAATTAAGGCCTCTAAAGTCAATCTACTGCTGGATGATTAGTTGAGTTCATTCATCGACCAGATATTGTAATCGACTATATTTTGGATTACTCGGGCCTCTTTATACACGTTGGCCACCCCAACATCCAGGCTCCCGAAGGCAGGCAACCCCCTACCATCCACGCCCAGTGTGACGCAGCTGAAGATGCCGATGATGTCGCCAAGCTCTGCCTATCACCTTCCGTCCAACGGCACGTCAAGAGAGGTGATACTTTTTTTTATTACAACAATTTTTGCATTATTGCCAGTAGTTATCGATAAACTTAGATAATTAGATATCCCAGCTGGTCGAGTGTTCATTAATGCTACCAGTGACAATGCATGCATACGGTTGCCAATGTTATGCATGTAGCATTTGCGTTGTGCACAATTTAATTATGCCCGCCCATGGCCACGTGGCCTAATAAAGGCCACGTTGTGACATAACTACGAGAAAGTGGCTATGGCCAATCTGTTGTGGAGAGAATATCTCATTTGAATTAGGGCTGGTAGCCCTAGGCCATCTTAAGCAATTGGAGCACACCAAGGACACTTGCATGGTGCCAATTGCATAATCCAACGATTTTGGCGCTTTAATTTTTGTCTATGCACCAAGTTTGCAATGGAATCTTGTTGGCAGTGTAACATTTACTGAAGATTATACAGTAATAACAAATGCTCGATCGCCTTTCAACTTTCAATGTAGTTTTATATATGAAGGGGTTTGTAATTAGCAACCTTCACAAGTTTCCAAATCATTCGAAGCATTCTGAAGTGAATAAGTTGTGTCATCGTAATTCACACAACCGTCAATGTGCTCCTGCTGAAGACCTGCCCATGCCGTGTCGGTGAATGGAATTTTTTGAAAAAAAATGTTTTAGCAGGATAAGGTCCACTGAGCTACATAGATATATTTTTTTAGAACCGAGCCAGCCACAAATGTTAGCTCAACAAAGTTGCTTATCATGTGGAAATTTATAGCAGCCAAATACTCTAAACGCATGCTTCTAAATGTGGAGGGGAACACCAGAGAAAGATCCATGCCACCACAGTGAGAATATGCAAACTCCAAATATATAAAGACGTCAAGGTCGGAACTCACGCCCTCCTGTGTACCAGGCGAGGTAGTTTATATCACGCCACCGTGGCACCCACAGTTCATGCTGGCCAATGTGTATTGGTAAAAGGACCCAGAACTGATTCGTACATCACTTGCCACTGATGTTAGCCGTGGTCGGATATCCAATTTGGATCGCAGGGTTCATAGCACAACGCACCAACCACTATGCCATCACTCCACCCCCCATTTAACGGAAACCACCACCGACCATAAAAATATGGCTCGCATTAAAATGGGAGCTCAATTTTATACAATAAAAAAATATTGTACCAGGTTATTTACTCTATTTACAGGGGATGTTTTTTTTATTTAAACATAGGACGTGCATTTCTAAAACAGGGCTTTAACATGAACACTGAATAGAACATCACCTCGAGATGACATATACGCTCCGTCTAACTTAGCTGGGAGAGTAATATGTCTGGAACATCAGCCATGTGCTTGTACACCCTTTTTGTCACTCCACTGCTGGATGAGGGCCTCCTTACGCTGTGCGGGTAGTTTTTTTTTACCATACTTGACTGTTCATGTCAATGCAGGTTGGTGAAGGCTGGGAGCATCCGCGTGGAAGCACATAAACACACAAGGCAGTTGCTATACTGCCCTCTGCTGCCCACACGGAGCCGCACAGCCTATAGCAACCCAACTCGGACCACATCCAAGAGAGGCTACTTGCCTATAAACATCTGGCAATGCACTTGTATCGGTTAAAACAATTCCTGACTCTGCTGATGAAATATTTGACGTCGAACTTGTCCGGCGGTAATGCTGCTGAAAGCACTCCCAGAAGGCTGTGCGACAGATGGGATGTGTAAAATGATGCCGATTTCTTTGTTGTGCATTGGTGGTCACACATCCAAGCACTATCCACTTTCTGAATGGGTGCATTCCAGGTGATTTGGTCATAGGCGGGCATGAGTGATACATTGCAGAAAATAAAAAAATATCTGTCATAATTTATATGATGCAAAATGGCCATGACATTTTTTGGATAAAGTCACAAATTGGGTTGAGTCAATAATCAGGTAAAGTATTAACTCAATTAGAATAGACACCGTGTTCCGAGTTTTGTGTCATCTCTTTTGGCAACATAAAAAACGTGCGATATCTCACAGACACACATATGTTTGAAACACCAAAACCACATGTACTGAATATGTAATCTGGGCTCTAAAGCAAACAGGGCAGTGTACAATTTAAGCATTTGTCCCGTTGCATTGAAGTGAGCAGAAGGTTTATCGAGGCCAAAGAAAAACACAGTGTGCCGTTTATATATTAATAAATCATTTTGCGGTTAAGGTATTTATTTTGAAATACATTTACACTGGACATATCCACCGAGACGCATACATCTTGTTTTACTTTCATGCAATCCCGACACAGAAACAGCGCATTTTTATAAATTAACCATATGGGTGAAATTTAGCTAAAATCCAAGATGAATATTATTGAATTATGAGCCGTGCAATGACATTTTAGCAGGGACACTGGAGCTAACAACTCTTATGAAATCAAAAGCACCAGGAGCACCTTAAATATCCACAGGTCTGACCGCACCTCACTTCTATAACTCTCATCCATATATTCATTCTGAGTTTCTCTCGTGTTAAAATAAGTCAAGATTTAAATAACATAAATAAAAACAAACAAACACGGCTCACACATTCCCAATTATATTCGTCATTCGCTCACTGCATATCCGCACAGCTTTCATTACCAACAACAGGCCAGGGATTGTGGCATCTCCGGAGTCATCTTACAGGCTGCGCACAGAAGTTCACGTTGATCAATGACTACTTGTAGATTCACTTTCCCCACTTAACAAGTGAGAAGAAACTAGCGATCGTTTTTGGAAATGTGGAATTTGTGTGCAGCTAATAAGGCTCGGAGGTAACACATCCCTACAACTCAAGGCAGCCCGAGGCACATGCAAAAATCCGAGATCTAACTTTGATGAGTTTTTTTGTGAGATGTAAAAAAAACGCAATTATGATGCACCCCCCCCCCCCCCTGTCCAGTTCAATTCATTAAACCGCGAGTGGTTTTTACAGGAAATTACGTTAAAATATATACACACAAATAATCCAGCATGTCCATCATCAGTGAAGATATGTAAAAACATCTATTTTACACAACTATAAAATTCATTAAAAATACAAAGCGGTTCAAACAAATAAGCAAGTGCTTTTTCATGAATCCTCTACCAAACGAGCACACGACTCGCGGAAGAAGAAACCTATCGTGTGAGAAACTGTAATAATTTACCGCAAACTGTCAGGTTGAGTGATCCGCACGAAATGAAACCTTGACAGAGACTGCTTTTCCTTTGAACAAAGGTGGTTTTGCAATTCACAATGCTGTAGGACTTGCTCAGAGCAGGCTCAAAGTGCTAAATGTTCGGATGATAACAGTGTTCCACTCATTATCAAAGCAGCGTGCGCACCTACGTGGAAAAAGAACGTCTATGGCAAATAGTCGCCTCCTGGATGTAATTGAAGACAATGAGCACAAACCACCACCATGGTAGCTTGCGATACGTCACGCAGATGCCTTACAGTCAACATGTATACGAGGTACGTGTAACTGCTATATTTGTGTGTGTGTGTGCGCGCATATTATTTCAGGACCATACTTTCCAGGTCTCACTAAAAACAAATTAGGTGCTTCTTGTATACGCCGTCACATAAAGAAGGACATTTTAACGATGTGACGTGTTAAAACCAGAACATTCCTATGCGAGGTACACAGTACACCTAAAATGAGGTTGAACAAATGAGGACCATCACTCGACTTAAGAGGATCTGTAAATTATTTTAAATGAGCATGGTGCTAGCAGTGGTTGTCTGAGAATTTACACGCAAGGCTCATCATATGCAAATCTACTGGTAAGCTACGATAGAGGGGCACTGATAGGCAGACGGGCGTGAATCGTGACTGATAGGAGAGATGGTGCAGAAAGAGAATCACTTTTTTGTAGGGTGAACCGATTAAGGTTCACGGACATTAACCAGACCGGGTGCGCGTGCGTGCAGTCGTAGTATGTATGGAGCGGTAGTATCCCGGTTAGCGCGCTGCGCTACGAACCCGGCGACCCGAGTTCGATTCCCGCTCACAATGGCGGTTGGCCGTGGTGCTGGCCACATTTGCGCGTTTACCGTTCCAGTACTTGCCCCAACAGTCTGACAAGGCGATAAGGGGACTTTCTCTTTGTGTAGTATCGAGACGCTCTCAACAACAAGCGGAGCACCGGGCGGCTAAAATGCAGCAAGCTGGCACAGTGGGAAGCACACAATGATGCACGTGCCCAGTCATCCCAATCAACCCACGGCACCTGGGTCTGTTCCGTGACCTCCTGCCAGTGAGCCTTCAATACTTCACGTGGCCTCAAAATGCACCTAGCATGGTACAAGCGCAGTAGTGACATCACCGCCACTTAGTGGTGAACTGCAGCTGTTGTTGTGAGTGGCTCAGCCTGCATCGTGTGTACAGAATTGCAATAACCTGGGCTAGTTTCAGGTCGGAGTCCTGTCTCCCCAACTGAGTGGAGTGATGCATCTTACACTTTGGCTTCCTTTAGTTTAAAAACAAAGCAAGTACTTAAATTAAGCATTACAATTGCTGTAAGGCAAAGTACTATGCTCTGCTGATGATATCATTTACAACAATAATAAATAACTCGCTTATAACTCCGTTAGATAACGCCCATTATATAGCAATAATACATCTTAAATTAAATTATACTTAAAACTAAAGCTCTTCCCAAAAAAAACACACATTTCAAGGTGGATGAAGCAAGCCCGAGGGGGGGGCAACCTGAAAGGAAACACTTGGGGAGTTGAAGGGTGCAAAACCTTCCTTCCATCTGTAGGACAGGGGAGGCAAATGCTCAAATAATAATTGCCAAGAAATGTTTGGTATGCTCGGGGAACTGTTTTTTTAAATATAAATTTAAACCCCCCCCACCCTCCGATGCATTTCTGCCCATGATATTTAACATACAATTTGTTCAAACCGCTTTAAGTCCAAAATTTCGCGCAAGCGGTGACGCGTCTGGACACCGAGACGACAGCGAGGGAAGAAGTTTATTTACAAAATGGGTGAGATCCTCCCCCCCGTGCTGCAGTCATTCCTAAGTTATTGAGAATCCTAGCCAAGTATGACTGCATCAGTGCGAATTTCCATTCCCGGGTTAAGGATCAATCCTGCTCCAAATAGTTTGATGTTACATTTGGAATAAAATCAAGACCTGTAATTCCCCTGTCAGTTCATCGTTGAAAAGAAGCAGCACTACCAGGTTTTCCAGACTCCACAAGACGGATGTCAGTGCTTTAGTAAGTGTACATTAGTCACATCAGCGGCTGCAGCCAGACTACCAATGCGTAGGCAATGTTCCAATTCATCCGAGGAGTGCGTTTAAGCATCACGGACCCAACAGGGTTCAACCCAGTTCATCGTGGCCCGGGCCGATTAATTTATGTTTACAGTTGATTAAACTGCAGTGTGTGCCTCTTAGGCACGGTGATGCCATATAAATAGTTTGTGATATACACAATCGGTAATTCATGTAAACGTCCATGCTTTCTGGGTTCAAAATATTAACCCTGCCCCAGAAAAAAAGACGGACTAATATACCTCGGTTTATTAAGTAACAGGTGTAAATCAGATTTTTTAAATGTGTCCATGCATTTCGTGTATATTAAAAAGCACGTTCCCATGAATTACATCCCAATGTGATGCCAGTGTCGGGTATAAAATATATAAACTATCACTATATTTTCAAGATTAATGTACACAGGGGAACAAGCTTGGAAGGTGGCATTATCGGGACGTGGATTAATTCTCATCCATTGATCTCTTTTGACAAGCCACAAGGTGTCGCTCTCTATCTGTGCAGGTGACCGAGAGCTGCAAAGTTGTTGTTGACTGACGTACACTCAAGAGACGAGGATGGCAGTTAAGTGCAGTTGTACCTGTTGTTATGATTGGGGTTCTCTCTCTGCATTGGTGACAGTTTATATTTGAGGACCCTGTTATGAGCACCCGGATACCTTGTATCGATGTCTTTTACTCCCGACAAGATATAGCAGAATTGCAGGGAACTGGGAAAATCTATGGAGCATCAGTGCCCTGCAAAGATAAACAGAAACGTTCAGCAATACTTAAAAAAGCATGAGTGGTATCAATTCATATTTCTTTTCCAGGAGACCATTTTTTTTGTTTTTAATTGACGCAAACCATAATTTTGCATCATACATTGACGACTAAAAAATCCAGTGTGGTATTTTGGATTGCACGATTGGAAAATGTAAAGCCATCATAAGCCAAACACCTCCTGCTGTTGGGGTAGAGGACTAAAGAATAATGTAACATTGATAAAAGACAAAATGTTCCGTATCAAAAATAAATTAACTTGAGATGGCGCACAAGAAACAAACAAAAAAACCTTCATTTGCTTTTCCACTGACCCACCAATGTAGAGCACAGTTTAGATATTGCTCAAGTTGCGGTCAACATCTGGACCACCCATTTAGAATACAGAGCTGTTGCTCCACTTCAGTCGCTCTGCGATCAGGGGAGAAACGTTCTTGGTCGGCTGGTACGGCATCACAAAAACCTCCCCCCACACTCTGCTGTGCTCATGCAGTGACCTGAATCCCCGTTCACCTGGAACCGAGTTCCAAGACACAAAGAGGCTCTCTGTCTGTATTTCTCCTGTTTGTGCTACCCCACATCTCACTTGGGCTATGGGAGCCACGTGTGAAATCCAACCAACAAACATATATGCCAGGTTTCTATCGAAACCATTAACCACGCAAAAGCGATGTGACGTTTGCATATACGGTACATTTGTTGTTCACATATCATAAATATATATAAAAATAATTATTTACACACATTTGTCAACCCACTGCTGGATTAAAGCCTCCCCTTGCCACGTCAGTTACGGTGGCTGTAGGACCGTACGTCACCAGACTGGTCAGCATGGGATGAAGGGGAAGATCAGTACTAGTTCAGATATCACATGCCATTGAAATCTGGCATAGCCAGGAATCTAACTCAGGAGGTAGGATGTTTCATAGAGTAATGCACTAGCCACTCTCTATTCAAAATGTGAAATTAAATATTTCGTAAATACAAGTTATACAGCGTCATTCAAAGGGATCGTACACAGCTATGTCGACATTTTGTTGTGATACGCAAGTCTTGTTCCTTAAATCAGTGGTCAAGAACTCTAAATAACCTCAAGCCTTACAAGCACATAAAAAATAACAAAAAAATATGTAATAATATAAATCCACGTATTGTACGTCTATTAGTGTTACTAAACAGAAACTACCATGTGCATGCATTGCAGAGACAGAGAAATGGATTCCACAATAACCACCGTCTGTAACATCCACAGCAGCAGTACGACCATGGCAAATGTAAACTGTAAAAACGCAACGTGGCATCGTCTCATGGCAGTGGGGAGGGGCAGACCAGCGGTTGGTGGTGGAGGGGGTAGAGAAATAACAAATAATTCCTCGCGTGGTGCTACATCAAAGCAGAACGACACGACCCAATGCAATGCAACCACGCGACAACACTCGCACAAGCATCGGCGCCGCCATCAAACGCCAAGCGCAGCTTTGTTGCATATTTACTGCTACAAATTGAATCAAAGACGACGGTGTCAATCTGTGCGCATAAACACAAGAGGACCGTAGCAGCGAGCCATTGGGGGGCATTTAATGAGGCGTCAAGCGGAGAAAAGTCTGCATATCCCCGAGCCACTCTGTGGGTGGGTGCAACATGCCTGTCACATTACATTTGGATGTAACGGTGCATGTGTACAAGCATCGGTTTAATTTTTTTACCCAGCATGCCGCACTGCTGTCAAGAGGCGGCGATCTTGCTTGCTTCACGCACCCCGCTCAAGTAGGCCCCTGTGACAGTCTGCGGGAAGTGCCTGTTTGTTGCCTAAAAAAAAAATTCCATAATTGACATTGACAGTGAAGTTAAAAAGTGTCTCCATGCTCAAATTCGAGTGAGGCAGAGGTGGTGGGGTGGCTCAGAGGTCACAGCATTGAGTTGGCAGTGCTGAGACCCTTGGCTCGAAACAAACGCTTATCTAGTCTCAGCTCTCTGCCACAAATGACTGCACAAAAACCTCTAAATTCACATTAAATGTGCTAAATTCAGCTAAATTCCAGCACTGAGAATGACAAATATTTGTTTTTATGCACTGAACATGACTCTCAGTGGTAGAGCTGATGGGAAAGTGCTGCCCCCTCTACTTTGTGAACCAGAGGCCACTTTGAGGGATTTCAGATGAAACTATTTTGGGGAAAAATTACGATGAAATTTGCATGCGGTGATGCTCATCCACGTTGTCGACCATGAGGTACGAGTGGAAATATTAAATTCTGACGGCAGTTTCCAGTTGTTCCATATGACTACCACACTATTGGACTTTCCACAAATTTCCACTCATTTTATCAATCACAGGAGGGATGATGGATCGAGTTGACCCTGGGCAGGAACTTGAATACTGGCCTTTCTGCGAGTTGAGAACTTTGCCACATCGCCACCCAGCCAGATTTTACCATTATTACTTATGAGATTAGAGGGTCTGCGGTCCAAGAGTATCTGTGCCTGGAAAATAGTATTCGCAAGTATGCAGTGGGCAATGACAAAAAACTACAACAGTGTTCACTTAATTGGGTATCAATGCCATTTTCAGAAGAGTTCTAAGTCGGCTGCATTCCCTAAGGTTGAGAACCCCTGTACAAATAATGTCCTTTAAAGTAGCCACCTGAACTCACCTCACCAGCGAAGAAGAGCTTGCCATTGAGGTCCTGGGCCAGCACATCATAGGCTTCGCCAGTGCCGCCAGGCCGTACGTAGCTGTAGGCCATGAGGGCCCAGGGGTCAGAACCCCACCGCGTTACGAACCAACGCAGGGGGTCGGGCACGTTCTAAAGTACACATACAACGTTTCCACAACTATAGCCAACAGCAGTGGCAACATGAACATTCATCTCTTTATGGCAGTCATGCAATTATTTTTGCGAATAATAGTGTATACGTATATCTGTATCTTGGTGGACTCTTTCAGTGCGTGTGTGTGATGTGTTGCAAAGGGGCACTTGCCTGCTCAGGAAAGATGGCCCGCAGTGCCTGCATGCACTGAGACACCACCTGGGAGTCGCTGAGGTCACGGATCAGCGCTACCGAGTCACCGCTCACAACGGACATGAGCACGCACTGCTCTCCCTGCAACACACACACACATAGACAATGATCCCCTCCTCCCAGAGCTTTTAACAGACTCTTGGAGCAAGTGCTGTTAAGCAAGCACCTATTCATGCCGGCACAACGCTAGAGTGGGGTGCTGTGGCAACCACCACATCTCACTGTCTTTGTCTCGCCTGTTCCGCTGCTGACACACCGCACCAAGTACTCATCTAAGGTGAAGCGGGGGGGGGCCCAAATATTCTCCATTGATGTTAGTCACGACCAGAAATTGGACTCGGGTAGCAGGCTTCGAAGCAGTGCACTAACCACTACGCAACTGATCCCTACGCAGTGATGCACAAAAATAGAGGAAATCGATAAAAGAATGTACAATAGTTAGGAGGGAGGGTCAAAGGCTGTGAGAAAATCAGTAGTTGAGAAAGTGATATGACGTCAACGTTGGAAAGATGGGAGGCGTGAATAGATGCGAGGAGGGCAAGAAGTCGAGAAAGCCAGAGAGGACAGGGAGGGGTTAAGGCAAGACCTACCTTGGGATCCATGTCGTAGAAGACCCCAAAGAGACCCCTACGGTCATGGCTCGGTGGAAGGTGTCCAAAATAGTCGGCTCCGCGGATCTTGTGCTCCCAGAAACGGAACGGGAACTGCAGCCCGATCTGCGTGTGGAAAGCCAAGCGTGCTATTGCATTATTTCGCTCGCTCACTGTGCCACGCCGTGACACGCAAGACAACAAAACAGCTCGCGTTCTTGTCAACAAATCCCACAAGCCTTAACACCGACTTTGAAGGAAAATGTGCCGCGTGTGTGTGTGTGTGTGTGCGCATTACCTTCTCGATGAGCCCGGCGCCCAGACTCTGCAGGGCCTTGATCTTGCGCTCAGGAAGTGGGGGACAAAACTCCAGCACTCCCAGCTGCATGAGCGCCAGTGGGATTGTCACCAGTACCTGGGAGCAGCACCGTGGTAATACACCATTACAGTAGCACACGTCGCACTTTCAAAGCATCCACCACCACACGATCACACCGTCGGTGGACAGTAAAACCTTGGATTGCGAGCATAATTCGTTCCGGAAACGTGCTCGTAATCCAAAGCACTCGTATATCAAAGCGAATTTCCCCGTAAGAAATAATGGAAACTCAGATGATTTGTTCCACAACCAAAAAATACTGTGTTCATATAAAAATTATTAATACAAAATACCTTTTTATATTTTTATTATTTACATTTAAAGTAATCAAATTTATTAATCAAATTTAATCGTGGCTGGTTTTGAGGGAGACGAGAGGAGAGGAGGAGGAGGGTTATTGTGTAGGACGACTTTCACTTGCAGTACAGCTACTAAAGAACAGTCACTACACTTGGACACCAAAATAAAAAAATGCTTTACGCACACACTCGTGGTCACAACACTATAGTAAGCAGTATACGCTCGCACAAATGTTGACTATACGAGTGAGGCACGCCGACTGAGACCGAGCATGGGAGACCATTACCCACAATCCCGCAGCGAGAGAGAGAGAGAAGAACCATCGGCTCAGTTGTAATCACGTGACACTCAGCAGACAAAGCGTATACCGTACGTACTGCTCGTGTTGCAAGATATCGCTCGTTTATCAAATTAGTATTTATTTAAAATTTTTGCTCGTCTTGCAAAACACTCGCAGACCAAGTTACTCGCAATCCAAGGTTTTTACTGTAATTGTTTTCAGATGCAGATAAACTGCCAACTGTGGTAGTCTCTATTGCAGTCTGAGATTTAATTCAAATTTATTGCACAGACAAATGTACAGCTCTTTTGTAAATTCACTGCTGGAAAAGGGTCCATTCTTTACCATGCTGGGTCAGTGCAGGTTGGTAAAAGCGGGCAGCAGATGTACAAGCATAGAAGTACAGAACCATGAATATTTCTGAACAGTCCTCTACTGGCTCACCACATAGCCATGCGGGGGGCTTCATCAAGCTGTGGACTAACAAAAGGCTAAAAACTAACATATTTTTCTAAACCTGATTAAAGTAGCATTAACGTAATTTATACATGGATATCAGTTTCATACCTTTTTAATAGTGTCTGTGCGCCTATCTGCATTTCCCACAGTCTCCCTCGTAAGAGGAAATTTGCATCTACAGACTCATTGGCTTCTATTGAACCAGATTCTAATGACCCATGCAGAAGCAATTTAGATGCAGTGTGAATGTCGCCTGACCTTATCAGCAATGTAGGTCATCCCTGTAGCTGTATGCACCTTCACACATTCCCCCGAGTAGTCCACTCGTTTTACCTGCAGATAAAAAAAAGACAAAGATCACCCATGTAGCCTGCAACATACTGTTGGGGCAAGTGCTGTTAGTGAGCACCTATAAAGGCCGGAACGGCACACGAAGGGGTGGGTGACCAGCACCATGCCCGGCCGCCTTTGTCACCCTAGTGGCAATGTTTAGACATCGCGCGAGGTACTCATTTGAGGCTGAGTCGACCTAGAGGAGGCCCAGGACCGGTTCAGATAATAGTAGCTTAGTGCTTAGCTCACTCCGATACAAACCCAGCAGCCCAAGTTTGATCCCCAGCCACAGCTAAAATCAGTGGCGATTGCTACCATTTATCCTACTCCCTGTGCCTCCGCGAGGTCGACTCACCCTCAAATGAGTATCTGGTGTGGTGTGTACACATTAGTGTACACATTAGCACTGTGAAAAGGACGCTGCGGGTGGTTTTGGCCATACTACCCCTCCCTGAGCCATGCTGCCTTTCATAGGTGCTGCTACTGGTAGGAACCTCCTGGTTACACCAGCCCACAGGGGATTATTGCGTCCGTCGTGCAGGGAGGGGCTGGGTGGGGAGGGAGGGGTTGGGTGGAGTGGGGAGGGGCTAGGTGGGGAGGGTGGGGAGGGGCTAGGTGGGGAGGGTGGGGAGGGGCTGGGTGGGGAGGGTGGGGAGGGGCTGGGTGGGGAGGGTGGGGAGGGGCTGGGTGGGGAGGATGGGGCTGGGTGGGGGGTGGGAGGGGTGGGGCTGGGTGGGGAGGGGCTGGTCACCCCGTGGTGGCCTTAGAAAACTCAACGTTTAACCTACTCACGCCGGCTTGTGCCCGCCCTCGCAGTCGGGCATATTTGCGGAATACACCACGCCGCCGTTGACCCTGGCCATTGACCGAGCAACCCAACGTTCCTACCAGCTCCCTCTGCAGGAATGTGTTTAATGGCACTTGGCTTAACAGCCAGTGTTGGCTATACGGGGGATCTTTGTGTCGTTGTGCGATGTGTTGGGTGTGCAAAGAGAAGTGGTGGCGGCGATGCAGCGGTGTTGCAGGGTTTTACACACTGTGCTACAGTCCTGGTAAACCTGAGTTTTATTCCTTGCCATAATAAAAAAAAAGGCTAGAAGTGGCATGTGAAACCAGTCCTGAGTCTCCTCCGAGTATTCCGTGCGACATGTAAACATCAGCACAGGAAACACAAAAGTGGTCGAGCATGGTGCTGGCCACCCAGTTTCGTGTGTTATTCTCACTGGAGTAGATACTCTCTTGTAGCACTTTCACTTAAGATTAACAAATCTGGCAAGTTGGGAAGTGGTGGCAGAGAGGTAAGCACACTGCACTACCAACCCGGTATAAAGCAAGTTCAATTCCTGACCACAGCTGTAATCAGCGAGGTGTGATATGTGAACTGGTCCTGTGGTCTACCCTCACCAGAACGCACTGACCAGTGTGGTGAATAATTGTCAAAGAATCCCCATGACCGACAACCGTGTGGGGGGGGAGAGGGTCATACGTACGGGGGTGTGTAGCCGAACGTCCAGGCCCTCGGCCAAGCGGTGTAGGATGGTCGAGTACCCGGCCGTCAACAAGGTGTGGTCTCCGGCAAACTGAGCAAAGAACTCATTGTGGTCCCAAGAGCGTGCGGATACCTGGGCACACACATACAACGATTTCCCCGTTCAGCTCTGCGGACTCGTGGTGAAAGCGCTGCTACAGGCACATTGCACAGACGTATGCGCAAAGACAAAGACTGCCTTGTTTAGACGTATTGCTGGGGATTGTGCTCCTACAAGCACACGTACGCAAACACAAGTGCACATGTACGCAAGTGTAGACACGAGGGGAGGCCCAGGTCTGGTTCAGATAATCGTCACTGGTGTTGGTTCCGAGAGGGAATCGAAGTATAAGCACGTGTACATATACACAACACCAACAACCACCATTCGCCACTAAGTGGCGGTAACGTCACCATGGTGCTTATACCAGTCGTGCAAAAACAAGCCCCTACCTCCTCAGTGGTGCCGGACGTGAGCAATGCCATGCGGGGAAGGCCAATTCCAATCGGCTGTTCCCTTCATGGTGCTCATAGCCACCACAGTGGCCAATGGGCTGGTAACCCCTCCACCTTCAATTTACTTACCACAAAACCACGTAAAACCATGTATGCACACATACACACACACATCGATAGAGATAGCCCGTTTAGACGCACAGACTTGGAGAAGGTACTGCTACAAGCAAATGTGTGTATGTATGTGTACACACGTGTGCACTTACGCACCTCCGATTAGCTCGGTTGGCTACGTACGGTGCGAAAGATTTTCAACATACATACGTACGCATGTACACGTGCATACACACACACACAAAGTGCCACGGCCTTCAACAACACGGCACTGTGCACCTGGCGTAGGTTGGCTCCGCATGCGTACTCCAGGTTAGCCAGGTGGAACTGCAGCAGCTTCTCTTCAAGCTCCCCAAACGAGAGCCCCGACTCCTTTCGGAATGCGTGAGTCAGCTCCTCCATCTTTTCTGCTCACGCACACAAATATAAAGAGCCTCCGTGTATCCTTCACAAGACTGTTGAGGCAAGTGCTATTAGCGAGCACCTATAAAGTTCAGCACGGCACAGGAGGAGGTGGGTGGTAAGCATTACGCCGGGCCACCTTTGTCTCCCGAGTGGCGATGGATAAACATCGAACCAGGTACCCATTTGAGGTGAAATTCGACTTAGGGGAGGCCTAGAACCGGTTCAGATAATCGTCACTGGTGGTGGCCATGAGCGGGAATCAAACCAGCCTCACTGGGTTTGTCGCGCGGCGCGCTAAGCACACAACACGATCGCACGTGCGCGCATATACACACCCCCCCCCACCCAAACATAAACACAGACTTGAACGCACGCACACGCACCTCCCAGGGAGACGTCGTGAGCGGGCTCCGTGGTGGTGCGCCACTGTGCGATGATGTCGAGGAGAGCGTTAAAGTGGAAGTCCATGCGCTTGTCCAGCGCTGGGTCGGTGACGCGGCCGCTCTCGTCCAGCAGCTCGCACGCCTCGCCCAGAACGTGCATGCGAATGCCCAGCTGTCGGGCGGCACAGGTCGGGATATCGTAACCATTCGCCCCCCCCCCCTCCACCGAGCATTATCGCGATGACAGCGCATACACGAGCATTTAAATTAGGGGCGGGGGGAATTTTTTCCTTACTTAGGGCCGAATATGGCTTCAAGAGAGGTTTGGCAGGCCTCGTATTAATACACACCTTAGCCTTATGCAATAATAACACGTAGCAAATTATAGAGGCACACCGTTACGGAGTGGGCTAAAATAAGAAATACAGTGCTGCCACGCCTAAAATATTCCCCTCCTGTACTGGAATAGTGCAGCTAAAATGCTTGCACAATTGATGAATAAATATCATTTGTGGGCCGTTTTGAAATTGGGACGTCCCATGTGGCCAGAGGACGCATACATTCAAGTCGCTGGCTGTAGGTTCGCCGCTGCTGATATAAACGGACACTCAATTCCATCCATTAGTCATGTAACGATTCACCCCCTCCACAATGCGATGAACTGTCACAATTCAGGGGCATGATTTTATGATATGCCATGAACTGGGATCATGGTTTGAGGAATTGATTCACAGATAAATTATGTTCTTGCCCTTGCGGTGCATGCATAACTTATGGTGATGTGAACCAATGCAGTCTATAGTGATATACATGTACATGAATCTGAATGAATTTATAAGTCGTTAAGATGCCACTATCCATAGCGAACAGCTTGAAACTCAATGTTGATATATTAGAATGCAGTGTATGGGAAAAATACAATAAAATCACAAATTGTTGGCGTAATACTGTGATATCAACTCATGAACCACGTTTTGTTTAATTTAAACACAAATGACCAATTACTTTGAAGTGCGTAATTTAGACACCAATTATTTGTGATTCATTTACATTCGTAATTAACATATAAATTTAGATGCGTTCACGTATCAAAACGTTCTGAGAAACAGCAACACATTTAAGTAAACAAGGTTCTTTTTTCACAACTAATTTTTCTGCTTCTCTATCTCCACACCCACTCCACCCCCTCACCTGTTCACACATGAGGCTGATCGGGTTATTGACACAGCCGTTGACAATCTGGGCCCCCCGTCCGACGGTAGTGCCCCCCAGCGAGCGGTCGTCCCACACGCGCCCCCCTATCCTCTCTCGGGCCTCAAGCACAATCACCTGGTTGCACACGGACAGACGCAGAGGGTCCTTCACATTTACTTATCTTCGCTCCAACACCACCAACCAAGCAATACATTACATGGGTCGTTTGGGACTGCTCTATGGACTCTGTCATGGACTGTGAAGGCCTATACACTGCAAGAGGAATTATAGCATTAATGGCCTCTTAACAACAGCTAGTCTGGGTCTAAGATTATGCCCCTAGGACAGGGTTCTTCAACTAAATTTTTTGACGAGTCCCATAATGAATTTAGTGTCCCGTGTACGAGCGCTATATCACGAGGTGTCATGATGTTAAAATATCTGTACATACGACCGCTCTCTTGTTCTTATTACTGGGTCTTTCACATATCTCTTGTTTATCTCACTTATGTTGATCTCTTGTCTACAGCTCTATCTCTGTATTTTGCTTATCTCTAATTTTTACATTATTTTTCTTCATACCTAAGTGAGCCGTAGCTCTCGGCCAAGCCTTAGCTTGGCGGGCCATTCAAAGAGCCCATGGGCCAGATGTGGCCCCTCAGGTGGCTAACTGAAGAACCCTGTCCAAAGAAGAACCCCGTGATCGAAAGCAAATCGCTTTTACCTTGAGGCCAAAGTTATGAAGCTGCCGAGCAGCGGCAAGGCCTGCCGGACCGGCTCCTATAACCACCACGGAATTCTGTACAACATAACATACAGAGCAAAATTATGTTCATCACACAAAGGCAACACTAAAGGATGCGCAAACAAATACGACGTTATATACTGGACCTGAAGTCACTGAGCTGTGAAAAAGCTCAATTGTTAAGAGGAACAGTCTCCTGGGCTTAATGGCATGAGTTTAAATCCCAACGAGGATCAAAGAAGAGTAGTTGCATTATGAAAAGGAAAATTGATACCATTATAATAATAAAAAGATTGAACAATTTGCCACCTTTTGTCAATCGATTGCTGGACAGATGCCTCCCCACATTCGGCAAGGGGGTAGGATGCTGGTGATAACTGTAGTCGGGAATCAAACACGGGTTTCCGGTTCATAGGGCAGTGTGTTAAGTGATCTCACCATAAATACCAGTAATTTCCACTACTTGCTATGAGCACCATCAGGACCACAAACGGATATGAACACCACCCATTGCTTATATGAGAAGTGCTAAAATAGCAACAAAAAAATTGGATGATGATTATTTTATCGCTGTCGCTGATGACGGTGCAATAAGTGATTTTAAAAATGGCAGCGGAGATGATGATGTATGTGACGATGATGATGAGGGGGATGAGGATGATGATAATTGCCAAAGAAGGTGATAACGATGCTGACCACAAGCATTGTGGTTAATGCAGACATGATCCCTTGTAAAAGGCTTCAGTTTGGTGTTTTAACATCTTAACACCTGCTTTGTTGCCAGAAAAAAGGGGAAAAACCCTATTATCATATTTTGGAACTGACAAAGGAGGTCCCATGATGATAGTGAGAGTGATGACCATATGGAGGGTGTGCCTGCCTTGCGGTAGTGTAACGGTAAGAGCGGGCGTCCCGGGTGTGCAGAGAGCAACCCGGTGTTGATGAGGCCCTTGCGCATGGCGAAGTGAAGGATGCCCTCCAGCTCCTGCATGCAGCGCACACGAATCAGGCCCCGTACCAGCAGGTGCTGCATGCACTTCTGCACCGTCAGGAATTCCTGCATGCACAGAGGGAGCATGCACACAACACCACACATTAACCATTACTCCAGCCCCTCCACTGGCTCCCAATGCAATCCCAGATAAATGTTAAGACTGCACTTGCCCATCGTCAAGATGCTTTATGAACTCGCCACTACTGACCTCTCCTCATTCATCTCACTCTAATCCATGCACTAGCCCACCTCTCCCATCTCACTTTATTCTCCTCCACGCATTCTCCGCTCCAGCAACCAAGGCCTTCTATCAAACCCTCCAGTCAACCTTTTCTCAGCGGTAGGTAGCTCATTCCCCTTCTTAGTTCAGAATACAGTACAATGGCATTTTTTGTACTGCCTGTGTTATACTTGGTAGTCGCCCATCCAAGCATTATCAAGGCTCAACCATGCTTAGCTTCGGAGCCGATGAGTTTGAGCGCATTGCAGGTACTTGGTCATAGACCATGTTTAGGTATGTATATTTTAAAACCCCTTTGTACGTCTCTTTCTGTCACTTCTTGGCCGAGTGAATCCATGCATTCCATCATTTGGGTGAAGAATCAAATTTGCTGTCGGTGCATAATTTTGGCCAAAGCGAATTGTGCAACGTTAAGGCAACCCATTCACGTAGGAGTCACCTTGCAGTTGATGTTCCACAGCGCCAGGATGAGGTTGCGCAGTGCCAGGTACATGGTGGGGTCACGTGAAAACTCGGGGAATTCATACAGCTCATCCAGCTCCATGACATCTGGCCGCACGCACAGGGCCTTGCCGCTCTCGTTGGGCTGGTAGAAGGGCTGGAAGTATGGGTTCAGGCCAGGCACTGGCAGCACACAAAACATATACAGTCATACCTTGGTATACGACCGCTTTGGAATACGTCGAATTTGGTATACGTCGTGTTTTGACGAGAAAAAAAATGTCTTGGGATATGACGTCTTGCTTGGGATACGACGTGCTTGCTAGAACTTGTATGGGTCGGGATGAGTCACCGCGTACAGTACCCGCATACACAATACTGTTACGGCTCTAACAAGGCAAAAACAAACTTCAATGGACAGGTTTTTTAGTAAAACTCAAACTTGGTGAGCCTCAACCAGGTCCAAGTCAAGAAAAAAGACAGAAAAGAGAAAATGAAATAAGTATAACCCGTAAAAACAAAGTTTTTCACTATAAATCCTTTATATGCGTGGCAGCGAACTTAATATAAAGGATTTAAAAATATATTCGCCTGTGGAGGACGCGGGGATCGATCCCGCGACCTTTGGCATGGGAAGCGAGGGCGCTACCAACTGCGCTACTCCGCAACGGCCTGTGGAGGGGTTACGCTCTGGGCTCTTATACTGTGACGTTCAGCCAAAGCCAAGAATGAGTTCTATTTGAATATATGTAAAATAATTTTTTTTTGCCTAAAAAGTGTAAAATTTTGGGAATTTTTTTTCACGAACATTAATTGTCTGGCACAAAGAGTCTGTGTGGAAAATAGTCAGCTCGATTGGATCACGGGAAGTGGGTTAAAAAACGACCGAAAGATTTGCACGGTCGTAAGCAAGCAAGCACGCAAGCAAGCATGCGAACTTAATATAAAGGATTTAAAAACCCCAGAATTTCAGCTTCCTGAAGTTTAATGGAAGGGGACTCTCCTTCAAAAAAATAACATCTCCTCCTCCTCCCCTTCCTCACCACCATCCTCGTAGGCTATCAACTCCTCTCAGCAAGGTAAAGTGATGTTAAATTTTATTTCAATTTATTTTAATTGATTTATGCATTTATTTTGATTTATGTATGCTTTTTAGTAATAAGTAGTGTCTACATTTTTTTTATACAACCCCATTAATGTATAATATGCCATATAAAATATCATTTCTTATACTCTGGAACGGATTATTTCCTTTCCCTTTATTTCTTATGGGAAAAATTCGTTTGGTATACATCATTTTCGGGAAAGTCCTACCTTCTGGAATGAATTAACGACGTATACCGAGGTACCACTGGAGTGTACATGTACAGCTCTGTGTTAATTCACTGCTGTATGAGGGCCTCTCCAAGCCATGTGGATCATAGAGTTTATATTTTTTGTTACCACATTTCATCATAATGGTTTCTGAGCACAAGCCCAAAGTATAAAAAATGACAAGCAATCAACAACAAACGGTACTATTAAATGTGTTAAAGATGACATTCAACGTTACCTCGGATCTTTGGCATGATGGAGTGGAGCATAGATGTTGGATTACACAAGTACAGTACAACAATGCATTTTTCTGCACTGCTCTCTGATATACACATATATGAGTCCCACTGTCTAAAGGCTATAACTAATGTCAAGCGCAGAAGTCGCCCATTACAGCACTATCTAGGCTCAAGCCTGCTCGGCTTTTGAGATCTGATGAGATCAGGTGCTATTCAGGCGATTTCCATATACTTTATGCAGAAACACAGTATTTCCAGATAAAAAAAATTCCCCTCTAGTGTCCGATTAGTGTGGCTAAGATGCTTGCAGTGACAGATAAATATTGTTTGCAGGCTGTTTCAAAATGGTAGGTCTCAGGTAGGCGTCGGCCGTATGAAATGAAATCAAGGGCCATTCCTGACCTTTGGGCCATATGCTTCCCATCACTGGGTTAATGGGCTAGTCTTTTCACCTGCATAGGTTATGCTAGGATAGTTCTCTCTTGGAGGTAATGTGCTCTAAGAAATCTGTGGATTATCCCAGGACATTAAAAGTCCAAGTTTTTGTCAGTTGCCTAATAATGCACCACTCAAGATAGTGTATTTACATGTAGTTCTCACCACTTCAGGTATGATGGGATCCTGTCCTACCCATGATATATCCCAGTTACTTTTCAGTTCAGAGGTGGTGACCCCATAGTGGGCAACTGTGTGAATGGTCGCATAGCCAGCAGCAGAGGTGTGGTGTGAGCATGAGCACCTGTGGTGTGTGGCACGGCATGCGAGTAGTTCTCGAGGCTGGTAAATCGTGGCACCGAGCGCTCCGTGCCGGCGCATGCCGGGCTCATGCCTACGCAGTCCAGGTAGTAGGCCGAGAGGAAGGGAGCGGCGGGACTGTCCTTCAACAGCGGGGGCAGCAGCAGCATTGCAAACCAGCGCGGTTCGCTCACCTCTACCACCCTCTGCCAGCCACACAACAGAGACACGAGATCTCCGATATAAAAAGGATTTCAATGTATAATTGTAACATGTTTTAATAGTACCAAAATATTATACTCAATGTTCAATGCATGAATATTAATATTTGTAATGCTTGAGCTAAGCTTGTCAAACATACCGAGTCTTCTGGCAGGGGCGCATGGATCAAAACCTTCATTCTGTGAACAAAAGAAAACAATGTTCCACACAGATGATCAAACCCACAACAACATCCATCCATACCAACGGTCGTACATTTACAGGCCTTTTATGCATCCACTGTACCTTGCGGTTATTGGACTATTCTTCACCACGCTGGCCAGTGATGGTCGGTGAAGGTGGAGAGTATCAAGTATAAAATAGTAGAATGGATTTTGCTGCACTACCCTCTGCTGACAACATAGTCTTGTAGCAGTGTAAAACACCCGCTTTATATGCACGGTAGTAATCTGAACAAACACTTATCCAGGCTAAAGTCTACTAAGCTTCAGATATTTGACGAATTCCGGGTGATTTGGTAATAGGTATCAAACAATTAAGAGGGTTTAAATGATCTGTTGGCACGACAGTATGTTTCCTTGTTTTGGAAAATGGAAAGAAAAAGGAACAGCGGTAGCCTAAATCTGGACAGAGAGTACTGAAAATGTGACACGGAGGAAGGTTGGCACATGTTACAGCAAAGCTCCGAAATGACGGAGAGTGCAGTAGCTTCATCATCGAGATGACAAATACCCAGCAATGACTAACGAATGCGTCCTTACCTTAATAGCGGAATTTACTTTCATGCCGCAGCAGTACGTCTGGGCGAGCTCGGTCGTAAGCATCACCTCTCGTGTGAGCTGCCTCCACTTGCCACAGCCCGGCTTAGTGCACTGCACCTGCACACGTGACAAGCACCGCACCCACCAATTTACTTAAGGACATTTTAACTGTTGCGATCTTTCATAGAGCAGCGCAACGCCGCCATGTTGGTGAATGGCCTGCGGTTTTTATTGTCGGAGCTAGCTCGGAGACCCCTTTAAATGACCTCTGGTCCACACACTAGGATGCAATCCTTTCCCACAAATATTTGCATCCTCAGTCTGCAGATACAAATTTGTGTCAAATAAAATCTTATTAAATTGTTTTTTTTTATGCGGCCATTGTGGCCGGACTGATACCATCAAATGACTACACATGAGAACGAAGTTTCATCACAAGTGTCTGCCCAGATTGTAACCCAAGAATTCAGCACTGTCAGCTCAGTGCTCGAGCGACCTAAAAAGATATTCAAAAATAAAACTGGGTGTAGTGATGCAAGCATTTAATCCCACAATTTAGGTGGAGTGATCTGTGGATCACTCATAAATTGAGGTGCTTGAAGAAGGCAGTACAGCAAGCAGGGTTCCGAGCTACAGAATGTGTGTGGAGCATTACAGGTATTGCCTTGACTTAAAGCTTTCGTGACTGCGAGAATTAATATTCTTTGGGTCTTTCGGTAAAGTCACGTAGATAGGTTCAAAGAAAATAACAAAAAACTACGACGTTTCAATCGCAACACAAGCGGTCGTCATCATGACGATCGAAACGTCGTAGTTTTTTGTTATTTTCTTTAAACCTATCTGCGTGACTTTACCGAAAGACCCAAAGAATAGGTATTGCCTTGTATATGTGGGTTTTTTCAAAAGTACTCAGGTTTCCACACCACCAGAAAAAATACAAAAGTAATTGGCCAAAGTCCCAATGCCAAAGTGGCATGAAATATAACCTTGAGACTCAGTGAGACTTTCTTTGGTAAACAAAAATATTATTATTAAGCCCAAGTTTGCCCAACGATATAAAGCTATTAAAAAACACACAAGCATATCTGAATAGAAACATTTGAATGGAGCCATTCGGTCTGCAGATTCGCTGGAGAACCAATTTTTTTCATATAGTGGGGAGTTCTCAAGTTTGTTGAGTAAGTAGATGACTTCAGGAGTAGCCTGGTGATGAACTAAAATGCTGCCAGCGAATGATAAAAATGGGCAGTGGTGCTACGCTGTGGTCCATAGTTTTAGACTGGTGACCGTAGTCGCACTGCAAGCTATTTCTTAATCAATGGAGAACTGAGAGCACTGAACACTCCATGCGATGATGATGCTGTGGCCTGGCTCTTAAGTACGCAGACGCTAGTAGCAGTAGTCTATTGTCCTATGAAGCGGTAGTTGCATTCCTGAACAACACCGCGTTGTGAAAACATTGCGTTATAATAAATAATATATAATATAGGGTAAAGTAAGTCCGTGATAACAGGTGAGATGAGTATGCAAGGTGAATAAAGACTGAGGCGCGTGGGTAGTATCTAGAAGCATCCAGCAGCATCCTGCCTTGTGTGATGCAACACGGAGGCAGCCTTATATCCGCTTATTCCTAATCGCGCGACGTAGTTCTGGTCACTCAATGCGTTATATCAAAATTGGCATCAGCGTTATAAAAATGTGTTTCTTCATACATTCATCACGTTATATCCAATTCGCGTGATGAAAACATGCGTTATATAGGAAAACAGACTGTACGCATGCAACAATGCCCGCTGTGACGAGTCGTACCCAGTAGGGCAGCTGTTGATCAGCCATGAAGGCCTTGATGCTTGGTTCGCTCTTCCCATTCATGGTCCACACTCGCTTCCAGCTCGCGTAGCGCCCGTAGCCATCCTTGTGACTGCACGTACGTATTTACACACAGGGCATGTATACGTTTTATCACCCGAGGGATTACACCGAGAGACAAAAATAGGAATGCGTGGATTAGAGAACATGTAAAAAAATACATACTGTCGACTGTTGAGAAAACCGAGTGAGTTTGGGCCGGACACGTTGGTAGAAGGGATCGTTGGCAAGCAAAAATAAAGATGGAGTAACAGCCAAAGGAGGGGAACGTGTCCAACGGAATGCCTGACGTGGAGATGGAGGCCCTCATCCAGCAGCGGATTGACAATGGGTTGTATATGTGGATGTACTTCTTTAGATGTTATGCTCCCTTCACATGGCTTGCTTTCGGATTTTTTTAAAATCAGCAATCCCATAAGCTGTAAAATTAAACGGCATAATGTCCGAGTTGTCTTGCCACAATGATCCTTAAACAATTCATGACCCACCTTCGGTAGTGGTGGTCGAAGCACTCGTTGCAGAAATGCTCCCCGCATGACAGGTGATACCAGCGTGACGTGTAACCGTTCTTCGCACACCTGCACAAAACACGCAGACACGAAAATAACACACGTGCTCTCAATTCAAGGCAGTCCCCCTTGCTTTGAATCACAGTTGCATCAAATTAAAGACAGCTACAACTTCAGCAGTATTTCGGTCAAATTATATGCATGTAAAAGTTGGCCCCTTTTATCAATCCACTGATGAATGAGGGCTTCCCAATACAGTACAACCCCTCTTAACGACGGACATTGGGTCCACGAAATCGGTCGTTAAGTGATTTGGTTGTTAAGCGAGTATAGGAAATACCTGTTAAAGGATTTATTCGTTCTGATAGCATCGTAAGTTACCATAATTCACCCAAAAAACGTTCTTTATAATATTTAAACAATAGATATTAATACATAAAGATACTGACTACATTATAAACACATAATATTAAAAGAAACATGGTTAATGCATTAATTCATATTTAATGTACCTACAACAGCCTGTCGTTAACAGGGGAATGTTCGGTAAGCTAACACATTGGGCTCTATGGAGGCTCGCAGTTAAGCGATTAGTCGTTAACAGGGGTGGTCGTTAAGAGGGGTTCTACTGTACTGTGTCCATCATTGGGGTTATATTGAGAGCACAGATAGTGAAGCATAGATGTACAGTACAACAGTATAGTGCATTGCCCTCTACTGCCCATCACGTAGCTCTGCGGCACTATGACAACCTTTTTGTGCAGGCTGATCACCTATCCTAGCACTACCCAGGTTCAGCTTCCGAAATCTAAAACAATCGGTGCATTCCAGGTGATATGGTCAAAGGCTGAGTCCTCACCAGTGCAACATAGCAGAAGGCGGCACCTATAGTTCAACTATCACACAATGTATGATCAAGGAAGGCTTTCTGCAATCAGGGTGGGTGACAGTACCATGAGCGTACATAGATGGGAGGGCAGCCGCCTTCTCACCCCCCTCACCCCCACTAACGTTTGGGGACACGGACAATCCATGAAGCTGTGCTCCTTCAATTAATACAATTAATAGGCCCCATTAGTTACGCGGCACGAGAACCTATTGTTACACGTTAGCCGTGCCCCCCGCCCCCCCCCCACGACTTCAACATTGTTGTCATGCGCTGGGATCACTCACCGCTCGCTCGCGCTCACGAAGCACACCGGCACGGTGACCATGCAGCCGACCTTCTCGCACTTGCGGTAGCGTTTCTCGTCATCCTCCTCGGGTTCCAGTCCTCCTGGCACCTTCTTTTTTATCTGCAAGCCAGGCGTGGTGGGCACAGAGATCACGTAGAACGTATCACAGATTGTGACGCTCGACAGACTTGCTGTAAGTGGTAAGTGTTGCACTGCGTAACTGACGACTTGCCAACACTACCGACTGAAGCGGTAGACTGACAATTTTTTTACTCTGTTTACCGCTTACCTATTTTTCTAATCTAATCATACGGCTTCATATAAACATTTTGGGCTTAAAAATCAGTACAAGAGGAAAAGGGTTTAAATATCAGCAGGCTGACGCTTAAATCGGTAGGGTTGGCAAATACGCAGCCATAACTGTGGGAATCATTACCTGCCGTCCTGAACTCCGCACCATGGAGTTTGCAGTGATCATCTCCAACACAACAGCTTTCCTTTTACCTCGTGGCCGGGCAGCAGCCATCCTGGCAAGGGAACACGCAGCATGGGCAATGCTTTTGTATGCTAATGGTGGCCAGACGGCAACCATGATACCAAGGAAACAGACGGGACTAGGCAGGGAGGGGGTTACGTATGCTAATGTAGACCGATCAGCGAGCGTAAAATGAGGGATACAAAAGGCACGGGCAGCATAAGCTGTAATAACCACCGAGAAGGGACTATAATGCTGGCAAATGCATAGGAGCAAAGGGGTTGTTGATTAAGGTAAATTAAATGGGTTTGCAATCCATAAAAATACTAACTACTCTTATCTTGTAGATATGGCCTAAGCTGTTTGTCCGTGGCTATAAGGAGAAACACTTGAAAATCAGAGTCAGATATGCTCGAGCAATATTTGCAATAAAATATCAATATTATATTGCAAATAACCAAAGTCATGATGCAGTAATGTCACTCAAGAATTTGTGAATGTGATTTTAAAGTAGTTACACATTCATGTTGGACAGCAAGAGGCACAGCCTAGGTGTGTATCACAAACAGCTGTTTGTGCTTTGGGCTGGACCGTCCTTTAGTCTATTCCCGAGGGGCCACAGTAACAATACGGACTTGCATGGTGTGATACGGGCTGTACAGAGAACAGTGAAAGGCACAAGATTGGCCACAATCACAGCAGCTTACCACTGTTAAGTAGGCTTGGTTGATTATCCCGTAGTGGACTGTGTGTGCTCGCCACTAAGCCAAAGGTTCGATTTCCACCGATGTCCAGAAATGTCTGCCGGAAAAATACCAACATGCACGCCCACTGTTAATACATAGCACTGTTTCTTCGACTACGCCGCTATCCACGGGATCCTTCTTTATAACTATGAGCATTCAAAATTCCCGGCACAGGTCACAAAACATGTGCAACGAAGGCTTGGAGATGGTCCCTAAGAGACCGCTCCTGCCACTTCACTTACCACATACGTTACTATCAATCCCTCACTTGAAACACAAGGTCATTTTTTACCAAGGTAATAAACCTTATTTAAAGACACCATGATGCTACTCTTAATGGAAGATGAAGATTTGAAAGATCACCAACTAAATTTTGAGCAGCCTCCTGAAGGGACTGCAGAACTAATTATTTGCCAAAACCTTCCGTGACAATTCCCTGACATTATAGCACGACACTCTACGGACTTTGAATTCTGAAAGGACATCACTTCACATTGTGATAGGACTCCCATATAAAGTGTGGTACAGCCCTTTTGTGAATACACTGCTAGATGAGGGCCTCCCCATGCCTTTGCAGGTCATGAGGATTATTTGGCTATACCTCCATAATGCTGGTTGGTGTGGGATGTTGAAGGTAAGCAGCAGAACACATTGTAAACATTCTATCGATTGGTTGGTACTACTCTCTAATGCCCACCACATAGCCCCACAAGCCTGATGACAACCTATTTGTGTATGGAGGTCACCCATCCAAGAGCTTTTCAGGTTGAATCATGCTCAGCTTCTGAGTTCCTATCAAATTGGGTGCATTCCCCGGGATTTCTGTTCCAGGCAAATTGATGGAAATAAAGAAATAAAAATAATCTCCCATCTTGCCAGCGAAAACCCATTTTGCCTAAAGCATATGTTCCTCTATATGGATGAACGCAGTTGACACACCCTGTGTGTATGGTCTACGTGAACTGTAAGGGAACCATTCAACTGCAAACATTCTACTGTGTTAGCCACTCCTTGTATGGGAAATCTGGAAAAACCGGCATGGCTTTTGGCGCCAATGGTCTGCGGTATTATCAAAAACATGCATTATCACATAGTTTGTTCTTAAAATCTTTACGACAATACAAAACAAACTTTTAACCAGCGTTGTTACCTGTCCTAGTTTTCCGAGGATGTCCTCATTTAGAGGTTATCCTGACAGTCTGTATGTATTGCGGATATATTAAAAGTCTCAATTTGTCAGTTTCATAATGATTCACCGCTCAAGGCAATACATTTACATGTAGTTCTTCCCTCTTCCGGTATTGTGAGATAGTCTTGTTCCAATGATATGTACCAGTTTTTTGTACCTCAAAGGTGACAACCCTCAAGGGGTGGAGCAGTGGCACACTGGTGAGCACACTGCACGACGAACCTCGCCACCTGAGTTTGATTCCCAGCCAGGGCTAATGTCAATAGTGATATCTGAACAGGTCCTCGGCACGTGATTACAAATGCACATTGACCAGTGTGGTGAAATATGATTTCTCAAAATCCCATAACAGTGAATTGACAAAGGGCTGTAAAAAAAGCCGTTAAGAACACTTTTTGGACTCCATGTGGCTTGTTTGTAAGAACAAGTCACGGACTCCCCTTAGCGATGAAGGCATCTCCTCGACGTGCAGATCACGTGGGTTGTTTGACCAGAAAACGTTCACAATCCAGCAAATTAAAGAATCGAATCTGAAATTTTCCGAATTGCACGCAATACACGTGTATGAAATTCAACATGAGAAGTTGAAACTAAAAAAGAACGGAGCTGTGGTTTGAGCTATAATTACAGCTTCTTCTGGGAAATCAGTACCCGGAGTGCCTTACATTTCTAATATAATTACACTTGAGTCTAAAACAGCATATAATGAAGCATTAGGGCCTCACACATTTATTGTTATCTTCTGTGTCAAGAGTGCCTGAGATCTACCTATTTTCTCGCCCATCATATGCTGTAGAAGCAGTATTATGGACTTACTTAGATACTAATCCTGCATCCCATCGGACAGTGGTGCATTAGATTTAGATTGTAACACTGCACCTGCTTAAACAACGGGGTCACGTTCCTTTTTCAGCCGTGGATGGACGAAAGGGCTGGAGATGCATTACTGTTTGTCCTTACCATCTTAAACCTACCTCTCTTCTCACCCATCATATGTTGGCGCAGCAGTGCAATTATACGTACATTTGAACACACAGCATCTGATAAAACATATGGTCTCGTACACCTATTTCCCAGTGTCTGCTGTCATCATCGCCACAATCATGTACCTATTCTCGCGTACGATCTCTGGTTCAACAGCGCCTTGTATTTACATGTGCCACTCGCTTAATGTAACACGAGTTCAATTAACAGCTGTCTTCTCGTCCATCACTTGCTGACAGTAACCTCGGACACAGCACTGCAAGGTAGTACCCATTAGTGTACAACACAGTGCATGAACACAACACAAATGTATTATCCATAATGTTCCAACACAAGCAATGACATGACATGCCATGCCACAGGCTTATTCACGGGTTAGCATCATTCCACACAACACGCTGGCCATGGGTCGATACGCTGTTGGATGGAAGAGGCCTGCCCCAAAATCACCGCCACCTCTCGTGGTCACCTCGTCGCTGCACACACGAGCTGAATTGATCGCTCCATCTCCGCGGTGGATGATAACTCTCAAACACGTTCCACAAATCTGCTTGGCTTGCCAATGTCATCATCATCAACATCACCACCAACAACCCTTCCATAGGGCGACTTATGGTGGCACAAGGCCCCAATAGGGGCCATACATTTAGTAGGTACGCAAAAATTATGTCAAAACTTGACCCCCCCGCCCCCTTTCTCTCCCTGTACTCACGCAGACTTTTTACACCCCCCCCCCCCAGAATCCTATAGAACTGCCGATATTTAATCCACGCAGAAACGATCAAGGATGAATACTATTAACGTGTTTAAGCAAACAGATAGTCCACACCGCCGGACTGTCTGTAACTCATTTGAAGGCCAATGTAGACAAATTATTATCGAGGCTCCCCCCCCCCGCACATTGTCAGTAGAGCCCCCCATTCGCAAGTGGGTTAAGCCCCCCAACTCCCCCCTCAATGCGTACATACTAAATGGATACCCCCCCCGCCTCACCATACCACTCACTTTTACTTCACTTGCCAAAACACAAAGCGTGCGGGTTTAAAAAAAAATGTTGTCGTTGTAACAATTCGAAAGTCCACGATTATCACCCGCTTATTTTCTTTATAAACCCAGCGTTGAGTGAGGTTGTAAACCCAAGGCCCCCCCCCCCCCTCACAGCTGTTCGCACACGCGCGCGGGTACAGTGCAGCGGCGGTACAACGTTGATTGAGGCGGTGTCCACAACGCCGCCAGCCAGCGGCAGCGCCACGAACACCGCCTCGGACGAGGGTGGGACATTATCTGAGGGTTTAAGATGTTTGGCTACTGCTACTGCTGCTGCTGCGTCCTTACCCCGCGCCTCCTTGATTCCTTACCTCGCCTTAAACGTCGAGCTCAGCGGCCCCCACACACCCAAGTGGCCCCGCCCCCTCCCACCAAGTGGCCCCGCCCCTTCCCACCAAGTGGCCCCGCCCCCTCCCACCAAGTGCCCCGCCCCCTCCCACCAAGTGGCCCCGCCCCCTCCACCAAGTGGCCCCGCCCCCTCCCACCAAGTGACCCCGCCCCCTCCCACCAAGTGGCCCCGCCCCCTCCAACAAGTGACCCGCCCCCTCCCACCAAGTGGCCCGCCCCCTCCACCAAGTGACCCGCCCCCTCCCACCAAGTGGCCCCGCCCCCTCCCACCAAGTGCCCCGCCCCCTCCACCAAGTGACCCCGCCCCCTCCAACAAGTGACCCGCCCCCTCCCACCAAGTGGCCCGCCCCCTCCACCAAGTGGCCCCGCCCCCTCCACCAAGTGACCCGCCCCCTCCACCAAGTGCCCCCCCCCCCTCTACCAAGTGGCCCGCCCCCTCCACCAAGTGACCCGCCCCCTCCACCAAGTGGCCCGCCCCCTCCACCAAGTGGCCCCGCCCCCTCCCACCAAGTGCCCCGCCCCCTCCACCAAGTGACCCGCCCCCTCCCACCAAGTGGCCCCGCCCCCTCCACCAAGTGGCCCCGCCCCCTCCCACCAAGTGACCCCGCCCCCTCCACCAAGTGGCCCCGCCCCCTCCACCAAGTGGCCCCGCCCCCTCCCACCAAGTGACCCCGCCCCCTCCCACCAAGTGGCCCCGCCCCCTCCAACAAGTGACCCGCCCCCTCCCACCAAGTGGCCCGCCCCCTCCACCAAGTGACCCGCCCCCTCCCACCAAGTGGCCCCGCCCCCTCCCACCAAGTGCCCCGCCCCCTCCACCAAGTGACCCCGCCCCCTCCAACAAGTGACCCGCCCCCTCCCACCAAGTGGCCCCCCCCCTCCACCAAGTGGCCCCGCCCCCTCCACCAAGTGACCCGCCCCCTCCACCAAGTGCCCCCCCCCCTCTACCAAGTGGCCCGCCCCCTCCACCAAGTGACCCGCCCCCTCCACCAAGTGACCTGCCCCCTCCACCAAGTGGCCCCGCCCCCTCCCACCAAGTGCCCCGCCCCCTCCACCAAGTGACCCGCCCCCTCCACCAAGTGGCCCCGCCCCCTCCCACCAAGTGCCCCGCCCCCTCCACCAAGTGACCCCGCCCCCTCCACCAAGTGACCCGCCCCCTCCACCAAGTGGCCCGCCCCCTCCACCAAGTGGCCCCGCCCCCTCCACCAAGTGGCCCTCCCCTCCACCAAGTGGCCCCGCCCCCTCCACCAAGTGGCCCCGCCCCCTCCACCAAGTGGCCCTCCCCTCCACCAAGTGACCCGCCCCCTCCACCAAGTGGCCCCGCCCCCTCCACCAAGTGGCCCCACCCCCTCCACCAAGTGGCCCTCCCCTCCACCAAGTGGCCCCGCCCCCTCCACCAAGTGGCCCCGCCCCCTCCACCAAGTGGCCCTCCCCTCCACCAAGTGGCCCGCCCCCTCCACCAAGTGGCCCCGCCCCCTCCACCAAGTGGCCCCGCCCCCTCCACCAAGTGGCCCTCCCCTCCACCAAGTGGCCCGCCCCCTCCCACCAAGTGGCCCCGCCCCCTCCACCAAGTGGCCCCCCCCCTCCACCAAGTGGCCCGCCCCCTCCACCAAGTGGCCCGCCCCCTCCACCAAGTGACCCGCCCCCTCCACCAAGTGACCCGCCCCCTCCACCAAGTGGCCCCGCCCCCTCCCACCAAGTGCCCCGCCCCCTCCACCAAGTGGCCCGCCCCTTTTAGTGACGTCACCTGTCGGCCCCTCCCCCCTTAACTCCGCGGATGTTGCCAGATCGGAGGCGGTTTTACCTCTGGCCGGCGTTATTCAAATTACAAGCGGTGTCGAATTGATTCTAGATTTGAAGCTTTCGTGACTGCAAGGATTCATACTCTTTGGTTTTTTCGGTAAAGTCACGTAGGTAAAAAATAAAATGAATTGAAAACAACTAAATTTGAAGCTTTCGTGACTGCAAGGATTTATACTCTTTGGTTTTTTCGGTAAAGTCACGTAGGTAAAAAATAAAATAAATGAAAACAACTAAATTTGAAGCTTTGCGAGGAGACATACTCTTTGGTTTTTTCGGTAAAGTCCATTTATTTAATTTATATTTTTACCTACGTGACTTTACCGAAAAAAACAAAGAAGAGTGTCAACTTAATCGAAACTCTCAAAAACTCAAAAGAGTTTAGACTCACAAGACGTGTATTGCCCGAGTGCAATGCATCCATTGAGGTGTCACGGAGTTCCTAGGAGGGGTCCGTTTAAAAACCATGGCAAGTGTTTATTGTCGATTTAAAGCTTTCGCGACTGCAGGGATTCATCTTCTTGGTTCTTTCGGTAAAGTCACGTATAAGGGAAATAATAAAATAAAACATAATAAAATACAATTCTCACGACGTTTCGGCCACAACGCAAAGCAGCCATCCTCAGGTGTTGAACAGGTCTGTCCGAGAGACGGCGTCTGAATGAACACCACCAAGCTTGGCAGCGTATATTTAAGCTGGGTGAGAGGAGGAGGGCGCATTGACAAATGAATTTGCATATCAACAGAGGAATTTAGCATATTTATGGCAAATGCAGATATGGGACAAGTAGTGACTAATCCCATATCTGCGTTCTCTGGTCGAGCAGCAATTGGGTCGAGGCTCAAAAAAAAGCCGTCCCTTGGTGTGGACCAATCAGTTTCAAGGACAATGCATATATTATCATCGTGTTTTTTGTTTGCATGTGACTGCAGGTATTGTGGTTAATGCAGACATGAATCCTTGTAAGTAAAAAGGTTTCAGTTTTGTTGCTAGAAAAAGGGGGAAAATCCTATTATATTTTGGTACTGGCAAAGGAGGTCCAATGATGCTATACTTTGTATTATATTCAATAATTAACTGAAGTTTTGATTTAGTTTTGGTGTCTTAATGTGGAATTTTGATGGACAAAATTATTTTTTAGGAAAGCAAATGGGGGAAAAAACAAAATTACAAGATAACCAAGTCATATGCTAGTGTAGATGAAATGGTATGTGCAGAGAACAGTGTAAGTGGTAGAGTCAACATGTAGAGGCAATGATCCAGCAGTGAATGGAGCATGGCGATATTAACGCTCCTGTGGGGACACAGTCACTTGAAGTTCAACACATACATGTAGTGTCAGACTTCACCATATCGTATTAACTTTATTTATATAAGGCAGCCTGCACAAACAGTACATTATGCATGCTTTTTGCATCTATACAGAATCATCATCATGTGGAGTTCAACATAATTCAGAACCAAATTGATTAATGGAAGCAGAATTGCAATTAATAATTTTATTTATGGTATAAAAAAATCATTAAGTCCATTATTTATCCAGGAAAACCTATTTTCAGGAGGCCCTTACATTGGGATGTTTGCAAAATTCCAATATTGCATGTTAGACATGTGGAAGGGAAACCAGTGCTGAAAGAAAACCCCACCTATAAGGGGATAAAACAGAAACCTCCACACAGATTGATTAAATCCACTTGCAGTACTGCCATCACCTAATTTCATCGTAACCCAGCGGGTTCGAGAGTGATCCACCATTGCCTCCGAAGTGTTTGATGGCAGGTGTACACCACCATGCCCGGCTCAATTATATTTACATGTAGACCAGAAGAAAATCTTAGGATATTTTAATTAAATTACTCCGTAACGTTTTACATACAAAACGCGTTTAATATTAAAGCAATGGAAGTCCGCTTTCCAATTCACATCACTTAATATGTATTTTGATCATACCTTTCACAAGGCGTTGCCTAATTGTTTTTGCTGATACGCAAAAATAATTATGCCGAGCTCCCTGTTGGGGGCATCTTAAAAAGGGCGACATGGAAAATGTCTTGCAATCACACACAACTCAGAGGCTGGTACAAAGCCTCAGTAGTACCTCTTTTCCACTGTATAACCGAGCCACGCTGGGGCAGTACCGAGCCTGCCCAGCACGGTTCAGGAAGTGCCAGGTTGTTTTTCCACTGAAGCAGCCGAGCTGTGCCATTTAAGTCACACACAATGAACAAGTCGCATGCAGATGATGCCGTGTCTGCACATTGTACTGATTTCACACGCAAAAAATGAGTCATTAACCATACTTGGCGCTAGGCCAGATTCAGATATATTGCGAGGCAAGTATGTCACAGTTTGGTTCCAACACAGCTCAGAAAATAGCCAGTGGCATACCACACGTACCTTGAGGGTCCCATGCTGACATACCTCAGATATGCCAGTGGAAAAGAGGTACATATGTATGTTGAAGTTCTTTTGCACAGTACGTAACCAACCGTGCTAACCCGAGGTGCGGGAGATACAAGTGTAAGGAACTACAATTCCTGTCTGTGAGGCTAAGGGGGCAGCATGAGTGTGGCGTGTATGCATTCTCCAGGGCAAGGTCATCGCTTGGCACCAGAAGCGGAAGTTGGGTCTTTGGAGTCCTTCTGAATGCTATTCTCCTTAAAAGCCTGGAACATCTCCTTGGAGGTGAGAAATGCTCCCCGCATGACAAGCTTGTCTCCGTCATCTGATGAATGCACGCAGATGCAACACACACACACACGACACACTTTCTCGGTTAACTTCATGTAGTTCACCAAGTAGGCTCAGTGGTGGCGTCATTCACTCATGCAAAGTCTGGATTTAAGCATTGGAAAATACAGAAAGGCAGAGATTGGATGCCTTGAAGTTTATGTGACATTCACGACCACTGAAAAGCAGACCTAAACCATGTCAAGACATTCCAGGAACAAAAAGGCCCAGCATGTCCTGAGCTCCCCATCTCTCTTCTGCGTTGACCCTGTGACAGCACAACAGGTTCTGTGGGTGGCCTGGGTGAAAGCCTGCAGCTCCCTTAAGAAAAGGAGCCACGTAGCCTGACGGATGCTGGTTTGACCCGGTTGAGGCTGGATTTACCTAGGAAAGCTACCCTGATAATCCTCCTTGAGGCTACTTGCCCGGTTTTTTTCCCCAACGGTTATGAAAATGTGACTTTAGGAGTTGCACCAGGCCGTATTGATACAGCAGGGTTCTTCTCACATTTTCCAGTAGGCCATATTATGAGACGTGTGATGTCATACATCATGCAATATCTTAAACTTCAGTGTCATTTGTAAAGATGTTCGAACGTCACGTGGTTTTATAACGTCATAATGCCTGAACATTTTATGACTAATCTGTATTTCTTGTCATCTAGCTTTCATCTCATTGATCTTCATATTTTGTCTACAGCCTCTCACCTGTCTCTTGTTTGTCTCTCTTTCATCTTACTAATCTGTATCTCTTTATGTCTGGGTCACCCACATCTGTTGGCGGACTACAGAACAGCTCAGCAGGCCGTTCCAAGGACAACCAGTTTAAGAATCCTGTTGTGAAGATAATGTATGCAGCACTCACTGAAAGTGATGTCCACTTGCGGCTCGGAATTGTCGTTCCGTACTTCGGTTGTGATGTTGCATTTGTCGTTGGAATCGCGCACCTTATCCGAGCCGATCAGCATGAGGAATTCCCTGGGAGGTGAGAGGTCGAGGGCCGCGGATACATAAGCTGTCAAATAATCTGTATTTAAGTCGTAGCTATGTAAAGTAGATAATATCCAAGCCAATGCACGATCCTCCTCAGAAGGTGTTTTGAAACTCCCGAGAGGCATTGTGAACATTCCGATATCACAACGCAGAATTTCACTAACACAACATTTTCTTGATTCTTTCGGTAAAGTCACGTAGAAGGGAAGTAATAAAATAATAAAAATAAAACATAATAAAATAATTCTCACGACGTTTCGGCCACAACGCAAGCAGCCGTCCTCAGGTGACTTTACCGAAAGAACCAAAAAGATGAATCCCTGCAGCCACGAAAGCTTTAAATCGAAATTTAACACAACATTCACTACTTTTTGACCTCCCTGCTTTCGGTTTGTGTAAGCAGTGGTATCTCAAGTTGATGAGAACATAAGTTAGACCGCAGTCTGGACTCATCTTCCATTATCGTCACCACCACCTCAATAATTATCCCTCAGCGGTTGAGAAATTGCGCATTATCTGGCAGGGCTACATCACCAACCTGCATGGACACCGGAAAACGGTGGTTGTCCATCGAATATACAGCAGAATATGGATACAAGCACGCCCAATATAAGCACAGTTATGATATAATAAGCACATCCTTACATTGAATTATCGCGGGGTTGTGAGGCTTTAGGTAACTTCTGATAAAAAAAAACACACTTTGGATATAAGCACACATTTCCTCGCGGCTCCAAAAGATGTGTCTGTTATATGCAGCTTCTGCACTGGGCTCTGTCACGGAAACATGGGAGTCGTCACCACCACTGGCTCAGCACTACCAATTGAGGCGGTTCAAGTTCAAGTTCATTTATTAGGTATAGCCCTGTGAACCATTCAGCTCTTGAATCGGGTGCAACCGCAACAAACAAAAAACAAAAACATGAACAAAAAACATCTTAAAGTGAATATGTGACTAAGTGCAAACAGAAAATCCAAGAAAAGACAGCGGCTTCAGTCGATCGCGTGGACGGTGACACTTTTTTTTCCCAAATCCGCGTTTTTTCTTGAAGCACGTGTTGGATGACAGGGGATGTATGTAGGGTAACAGTGTGTTGAACTTCTTTCGCACCGCACGTAGCCAATCGTGCTAAGCAGAGGGCGCCCGGGGGGGAGGGGGAAGGGGGCACACCTCTTGACATTGACGCGCGTCGTCAGGGACATTCGCGACACGTGGCTTGGGGGGTGACTACAGACGAATGGTGGGGCAACACAGGGAGAGGGTTGATATCTCATGTCAATTGGCATCCTCCGTTTGCCCAGCAAGGCTCCGCCGCGTCTCACAAGACACTGCATTTGCCAATCAGATTTACAACACGACCCGGCTTCTTCTGATCTCAATCAATTGGCCTTCCTCTCCCACAATCTATAGCTCGATTTGCGAAGCGACTGGGAACTGTGCACGTTTGCATCTAGATGGGGGTGTTTAACCAATGCAAATGAATGAGCGTTTGACACGCGTGAGATAACCGCAGCACGCACGCACGCTACGCCAGTTCTACACAGATGGATTTAACAATCTAATCATGTACATTGCTGTCATCTCCTGGCCACCTGGGCATCTCATCGCTTTGAGATCATTGATGAAAAGTGCTACGTAAATATATTTTTTAACTAATAGCATCCCATTCAAGTACAGTAACTGTACTGTACTAGACGCACTGTAAGGCCGTGAGATAAGAGGGTAAAGTGGTGGTGGTGTTGTGACGGCGACTTCCTCGCACCTGGTGGACCTCACGTTGTCCTGGAAGGGACACAGGCGGACGGAGATGCTCTTCACGGCTTTGAGGGACAGAGACGTCGCTCCACGTGCAGCCATGGTGCCTTGCCTTGCCCTCCACCACGACAGGTCGGAATCGATTCCTCGTGTAGACCGCGGAATCGATTCCGCCGTGCCGGCAGTCACTTGAGGAGGGGTGGAGGCGCGCGATCGATTCTCGGTGAATCGATCGCGCGTGTACGGACGCGCGTAGGGATTATGTTACTGGTAGGAATCGATTCCATTTCATGAATGTGTTTGTCGGATCGCGTGGATCGTTGGTGGTGGTTTGCCGGGTCGGATGTTTTTCCGGCTGCGTCTTTGAGGGTTTTAACAAGTAAACCCGTAAAAACAAAGTTTTTAACTACTAATCCTTTGTATGCGTGGCGGCTAGAGTCCTCTCGTCCTCTGGCTTGAGATGGCTGCCACCTATGGGTCAGATGATTGCCTGCCACCATTAAGCAATTGGCAATTAAATATAATTTATTTTTCTTACAAAGTGTAAAATTTTTGATTTTTTTTCACGAAAATAAATTGTCACGAACAACGAGTCTGTGTGCAAAATGTCAACTCGATTGGATCACGGGAAGTGGGTTAAAAAACGACCGAAAAATTTGCACGGTCGTAAGCGCGCAAGCAAGTGAACTTAATATAAAGGATTTAAAAATGGAACGCGTTGCGTAATTGTTAATATAACACTAATAATTAATTATTACAGCGCTGGATTATGTTGTAACTTTCAAACTCACGATGCGTGAGTTTGATAGCGGTGCTTTGGGCCGGTGTGTTTACGATTCATGAGTATTGTATGTAATAAATGTTAACTGTGTTCAACACTTTGAAAAAAAATCAGTTTTCGGCGTTTGGCAATGTTTTATTTTAAGGCCGCGGTGTTATTGACGAATGTGTTGAATATTTGTGTTGTGTTTATTGTGCTTGTGCACTCCTGCCAACGAATAATTTGTTTCATCCCAACATTTATTAATGGTTTTGTCTTTCCCTCAATGTTTATCCAAAATGTGTCGCGTCATGAAAATCCAAATTAAAATCTCGCATTACTCCTCCACATGGCTGATTTTGATGTAGGCAAACACTATAATTTGACATTACCCCCCTCCAAAAGGGCAACATGCGTTTAGATTATTTAGCTGCTATAAAGTTCCACATGATTAAGGCCACTTCGTTGAGTTCTCATTCATTTGTGAAAAAAAAGTAGCTAAGAGCCCAGTGGGATTTGCCGTGTAAGATACAAAAAATTGTAACTTTCAGACCCGCCCCTACTGGACATCTGTGAAAAAGAGCTTTATCGCTTATCGGATTCCTCCAGTACGAATAAACACATTCCTGCGGAGGGAGCTGGTAGGAACGTTGGGTTGCTCGGTCAATGGCCAGGGTCAACGGCGGCGTGGTGTATTCCACAAATATGCCCAACTGTGAGGGCGGGCACAAGCCGGCGTGAGTAGGTTAAACGTTGAGTTTTATAAGGGCACCACGGGGTGACCAGCCCCTCCCCACCCAGCCCCACCCCACCCAGCCCCACCCCTCCCAGCCCCCACCCAGCCCCACCCTCCCCACCCAGCCCCTCCCCACCCTCCCCACCCTCCCCTCTCGACACTGTCCCACCCCTCCCATTTTTGGATGCACGACGGACAGACGGACACTGATCCCCTGTTGGCTGGTGTAACCAGGAGGTTGCTACCAGTAAGATTCTGTTTCTGATATAAAACTGCCGCTGAAATTGTTGCAAGGGATCCCATCCACACTAGGGGGCAGCACATTCCCACCTGCCCGAGGACATAAATAAATGTTCACGGCATAACAGTTAACCAGATATGTTCATATCGGAGCTGTCATTTAGTCAAATTAAATTAAACAAACTACTGTATGATGGATTTTTTTGTGTAGTTATTGGTGACTAGGCTGAGACTAGCAACTCCGTACACTTCACCTATTTTAAGCAGCGCAGCTGAACGGCCTTGAGGGACAGAGACGCCAAGGTCAACTCGTGCAAATGAGAGAGATTCTCACCTGGTTCAATAAAAATAATCCTGGTACTGTACTTTATCCTTGGTATCTCAGTGATGCCAGCTCAGCGCTCTGACTTATGAATGACCCGGTCACTTACGTCACTTACGTAACCGGTCACAGAAGGCTCGAGAGGAAATGGAGTATATTTCGTATTTTTGTTATCTTTACATTCAGCTGCCTTGAAAGTCCACAGCAACAAGTGCAATCGCAGACTCCCTTATCAACGAACTATTTGCGGTTAACAGAAAATAAAGATGTTAGTGTATTTAGGACAAAAAAAATCCTTGATCGGGAATGAAAGCTTTGACTCTTATAGGTGGAATGGACACGAGACAAGGCGGTAATACCAACATACAATTTAACACACGACTCTATAACCATGTCTAAGAGAAATACTGATAGCAAGAGAACCACAGTGCAATTCGTCAAGAACTGCTTATATACTCTTTGGTTCTTTCGGTAAAGTCACGTAGGTATAAAATAAAATAAATCACGTGATTTATTTTATTTTATCTTACCCGGCAAAGCCCACTTAGCTCTTCGCTTATTTTTTTCAGAAGTGAACTGACCACAAATGATAACTGAACGAAGTGGCCTTAATCATGTGGAACTTTATAGCAGCCAAATAATGACGTGATTGACTTTATTTTATACCTACGTGACTTTACCGAAAGAACCAAAGAGTATGGATTCCTGCAGTCACGAAAGCTTCAAATCAAGATTGAACTGCTTATACTCACGTAGGGTTAGTCACGAAATCAAATCTACAGTTGGATAACGAATGTGATTGGAACAGTTTGCCCAACGACCCAACGTTTACCCAGTACGCACCGAGCTAAAACCATTACAATTATAATCCCTCTTCTGAAACATTACGGACAGAGGCTTATCTAGGCCATGAACAACTGTGCGAGATTGTGTCCATTTGTTGCTCAGAGGTGCACATTTGTACACCACATTTTCTGAAGTGCTGTAATGTGAAACACATTCCTGCGGAGAGAGCTGGTAAGAATGTTGGGTTGCTCGGTCAATGGCCAGGGTCAACGGCGGCGTGGTGTATTCCGCAAATATGCCCGACTGTGAGGGCGGGCACAAGCCGGCGTGAGTAGGTTAAACGTTGGGTTTTATAAGGGCACCACGGGGTGACCAGCCCCTTCCCACCCAGCCCCACCCCTCCCACCCCCCACCCAGCCCCACCCCTCCCACCCCCCACCCAGCCCCACCCCTCCCACCCCCCACCCAGCCCCTCCCCACCCTCCCCACCCAGCCCCTCCCCACCCTCCCCTCTCCACCCAGCCCCTCCCCACCCAGCCCCTCCCCACCCAGCCCTCCCCTCCCCACCCAGCCCCTCCCCACCCAGCCCCTCCCTCCCCACCCAGCCCCTCCCAGCCCCACCCCTCCCACCCCCCCACCCAGCCCCACCCAACCCCTCCCCACCCTCCCCACCCAGCCCCTCCCTCCCCACCAGGCCCCTCCCCACCCAGCCCCTCCCCTCCCCACCCAGCCCCTCCCTCCCCACCCAGCCCCTCCCTACCCTCCCCACCCAGCCCCTCCCTGCTTCCCCACCCAGCTCCTCCCTGCACGACGGACGGACGGACACAATAATCCCCTGTGGGCTGGTGTAACCAGGATGCTCCAACCAGTATTAACAGTACAGCATATATAATTCAGTTGATGTCATTACTATTTCAAAAATTCCAAAAATAGATATTATATAGTCATGTGATTACACACCCAAAGCTATGCTGACTTCGCTGAGAGCATTTTAAAGATGTGTTCATGAAAAAAAATCTATCCAAAGTCATGCTCAGTACGTTGACTTCTCCCAACGTAGACTTTAAACCCTTTTTTGTCATTAAAGAGGCTTTAAACTATTATAAGGCATCGTTAATGGCGAATGCGGGGAGATATTTCAATTTTATAAAAGATAACATGTACCATATTTATATTTTATTGGTTATGTTGTCACGAATTGGGTCGGTTTGCCGGATTATGTATTTGTAACCGTTTTTAGAGACATTTGAAAGTATGAGCATACGGAATAGAGAACACACGCAGATACATGACATCACTCAAACGACAGAAACCGTGTTCATAAAAAAAACTAAGTAGGCTTGGCAGGAGACTGGAAGGTAACGTCTGGAAGCTGGGATGATAGGAGGATTTCTCCACAACTTTGGTTTCCGCCTGATGAGGCTGGTTGTAATTATCGGCGAAACGTCGTATTCGAATCGTAAACGTGTGGGTTTACTCTCCAACACACCGGTATCCTGAGCTAGTAACGAATTGGCATGTTGTGTTTACGTGACACACCTTACTAATTGGCTGTGTCGGGTGGTGGCAGGTTTAACGAAATATTTATATTTACGTAATCTAACCCAAAAACCTCTTATGGATGGTCAATATTAATAAGACAGATGTGGGCAGCCAAGGAATTGCAAACGCGTCCAAGGAAAGATTGAGCAATGAAATCGGGTCATGTGCAGGCACAAATTGGATTATTAAAATTGCAGGATTATGATAGATTGTGGGTGACGGAGGGGGAGGATGGCGGCTCCGGCTTTGGTGTTAAGCCTTCATCCAGCAGCGGATTGATCGAGCCCTCTGGTTTCCCCCCTCCACATTTAGAAATATGCGTTTAGACTATTTACGTTTCTTTGCTGCTATAAATGTCCAAATGGTAAGCCACCTTGTTGAGCTATCGTTTGTGGCCAGATCGCTTTTGGAAAACAAGTTAATACCTCAGTGGGCTTTGTCTGGTAGGATGTGGGATGGTTTCGTTTCATTTGTATCTGTTTTGGTGAATTGTTTACCTTTCTTGTACTTTGCACTCCTATGTTTTGTTTTAATACTCTTTGTTGCTGTCACGTTCTTACCCACCCCGACTGGACATCTGACATCTGTGAAAAAAGAGCTTTATAGCTCATCGGATTCTTCCTGCAGTATAAATAAATATTCTGATGATGAGGCCCCCCCCCCCTTTCTCTCTCCCTCCCTCTTCTCTTGGCGACAGTTGCCACGGCAACGAACCTCCCGCATTGGTCCCTCGCTCCTCACGTCACTGCGGCAAGGCGCTCCCTCTGCAGCGTGGCGCGGTGACGTCGCTGCGGCACGCGCTCGCAGGCACCGCCGCGAGAGGGGGGCGGGGTGGGGGTGCGCGTTGTGACGTCACTGCGGCAGCGTGGTGACGTCACAGCAGTCGTGTGTGTGTGTGTCTCTCTTGACACCAACCTCATCCGTCGACATTTGCCAATCCGAGGAGGCGGCAGAGAGGAAGAGACCTCGCCAAAAAGTCGTCGTTCCACTACGCATTTGGGCTACGTGAGTATAGATCGTGTGCCGCTTTGATCTATTGAAACTCTGCATTTGTATACGGCGTTGTAAATTGGGTGCGCGTGGAGCGTTTCACTCTTGGTTGCAATTGTGGTTGATTTGTGTCGTTTAATTGCCTTGGTGGAAGGCATCGGTCGGTGAATGAATTGGGCATTGAATGAATGAGGGAATACGCAATGGCATCTGCTGTGACGTCTGATACCTGCCCCGTCTTACCTGCAGGGTTGGCTAGGTGAATGCAAATACGTTCACGCTCTATTACCCAGTGAGCAAATGTGCACGACTGTAGCATTGTTGATGTACTTTGTGTCCCTGTACGAGCTTATTTCATCGCTCCATCTCTCCGCGTGGGAAGATCTCACGGCCGGATGTCATCCACTGGCAGCCACTGCCGTCATTGTACTTGACCATCGGCTAACGTCGTAACTGCTCGCGACTTGTCCAGCTTGAAATAATCGGCGACGTTTCGGGAAACGACCCTTCACAATTTTCTGATAACTGCCAACGCGGTATGACCAAATTGTTCACTGCAAGTATAACAGCCCTATTGCCAATCCACTGCTGAATGAAAGCCCCCACCCCCTCTCATGCCGTGTGGGACGTAGGGGTTGACGTGGGATTCTGACCACAAGTATTGTGGTTAATGCAGACATGATTCCTTGTAAAAGGTTTCAGTTTGGTGTTTTAACATCTTAACACCTGTTTTGTTGCCAGAAAAAAGGGAAAAACCTATTCTCAAATCAATTGATTATTCTGCCCACCACATATCCCCGCAGTAGCCTATCACAACCTGTCGATTGCGGTGACCACCCATCCATGCATGCATTATCCCGACTCAATCCTCATTAGCTTCTGAGGTCGGGTGCATTTTGTGTGATTTGGCCATAGGCAGGTCATAATTCATAATGACAGTCTGGTGAGTCTCAAGATATTTGTAAAGGGGCTCCTGCAATGGGAAATTTGGCAAATTCAATTGATGCCTGACAGGATGATGCTTTTATGTATTAAATCCTAGATTCCCTTGTAAGAGATTTATGGTCACAATGGGCTCTTACATTTTTTTTATGAAGGTCACATGTTGATCGTGATGATGGCAATGCAAATGTTTGGTGGTAGAGTCCTAACCTTGACAGCCGTGGCTATAAACTGCATCATCATTGTTAAAATTACGTCACGAAAATACGATAAATGTGATCACTGGGCTGTAAAATAATGGTGAAGGGGGTAGTGTGGGTGATGGCAGTGATGATTGGTATAGACATATAGTGATGCCGCTGACGGCGATGGTAACATTGAGAATTATTATTCCGGATGGAGTACAGTGGCGCAGTAAATAGCACGCTGCGCGAGGCACCCGGTGAGCCGATTAAAATTCCAGGATGCGGCTAAGATCAGTGGTGCGTGATATCCGAAGCAGTCCTGAGCCATCTTCACCAACCGGCACTGACCTACGTGGTAATTAACAAACCCTATGACCGATACGGTGTCTGGAGGCCTTCATTCTTGCAGTGGCTGGACCAAGGGCCATAAATAATTGCATTGAAATAAATTATTTTAAGGTGATTAGTAGACATGTAACGGTTCACCATCATCATGATTCGATTGTCACGATTTGAGGGTCAACTTGTGACTCAAGAATCGATGCTTGTAGTTGGGATCTGGAGTGCCTGCAGGGTGTCTATGAACCCCATATAGTACGGAACATACATCGACATATTAAACAATTTATTCCAAAACATACGCTTGGATGCACGTATTGTAAGAATCACTATGTCTAAATCCAATTGTCATATCCCGAATTACGATAATAAATTGGGTAATGATGGTCTTAGTGATTGATGCAGTGATGACATTACAATGATGATGATTGTTTAACGATATGATTTTCACTCAGTGCGAGGTCGCTCTATCAAACTAAACTATGAATTTAAATATTTTTTATTTTACCAGGTAAGACCCACTGAGCTATACAGCTCTTTTTCAGAGGCGATCTGGCCACAAATAATAGCTCAACGAAGTGGCTTATCAAGTGCAAATTTATAGCAGCCAATTACTCCAAACACGTTTCTAAATGTGGAGGGAAAAACCGGAGGACCCGGAGAAAAATCCACGCGACCACGGGGAGAACATGCAAACTCCAAATATATAGGCGTAGGGGTTATAGTCGAACCCATGACTGCCTGTATACCAGGCGAGGGAGTTAACATCTCACCACCGTGGCTCAACTGCCTTTTCCCAGCCATCCGTGTTCAAGAACAGCCCCAAGACCATCTTTTCTTGCTCTGCTCATGACTGCCTTTTTTGTTTAATATATAAAATAAAAAATAAAAAATACGTCCAACGTGTTTCCATCGTGTTTCCGCACAGGGTCTTGAAGATCGGTCACATTATTGAAAATAACTCGTGATGGTTGTGAACCTACCCCAGCAGGTCGTGCTTGAGACACAGCCACCATGTCCATCCTGAAGATCCACGCACGGGAAATCCTGGACTCCCGGGGCAACCCCACCGTGGAGGTCGACTTGCACACGGAGCGCGGTGCGGCAATCACTGAAACTGCTGAGGGTCGTGGGATTGACGTGCAGGCAACTGCGGTAGTGGTGGCGCTGATGTTGTTGACGCTGGAGCAGTGACGTGGTAGTTACCACGCTACACTACGAACCCCAGTGACCAGAACTCAATTCCTGACCGTGGACATCGTCAGTGTTGAATATCTGAATAGGACCTGGGTGTCTCCTAAGAATTTTCGGATTTAAATCAGTACCTGGTGCAGTTTGTAAACATCAGCACTGGGGAGACAAATTTGGTCACGTGTGGTGCTTGGCCACAACACTCACTTTATGAGCGTTCTTTCGGCCTTAGTAGGTGCTACCTAAGAGTACTTTTCCTGACAAATAACATCATTTCCACAGTTGTAATTCTTTTTTTTTAGCGCGCAAGACTATCACTAAGGTGCTATGTTTCACAGACGAATATTTGTCTGAAGCAGTTTCACAGTAGGGCCAATGTTGCAAGGCGGTTTTATCCAATTCATTAAATTATGCAATTAATTAAATTAAAACGCTATATAGGGGCATCTTTGTCTTTGTTTCAATAATGATAGTTGTGTTAATTGATAGTACTGGTGGCAACGGTAACTTTGGTGGTGGTAGTGGTGGTGGTAACATGCAGCTCCTTCATAATTAAGATGTTTTGGATTAGGTAGCGCAAGTATAAATGTGTCGAAACCCTCCACCACCCGACACGGCCAATCAGTAAGGGATTTTGTCACGTAAACACATCGCTAAATAGTTACTACTTCAGCCCACCGGTGAGTTGAAGAGTGAATCCACAACATTTACAATCTGAGTAGTACGACATTTCTCTGGTAATTACATCCAGCATCATCCGGCGATTTGCCAGAATAGTGAAGCAATCCACCTGCTTCTGGTCTTAAATTGAGCAGCAGGACGACGTCATCACTGAACCCAATCAGGTGCAGAGATCAGAGGCTGAGGAGGGGGGGGGGGTATTGTAATTATATACTAGATTAGTAATCAGTTAATTAGTATGATTCCTCGAAAAGGAATTGTAATTGTAATATGTATTACTTAATAATTGAACCCAATCACTGAACCCAATCAGGTGCAGAGATTAGAGGCGGAGGAGGGGGGAGGGGGGTTATTGTTATTATATACTAGATTAGTAATCAGTTAATTGGTATGTGTTTCCCCTATAAGGAATTGTCATATGTATTACTTAATAATTCGCTTCCAGGCACTAATAACAGCTCCTAATAACTGGATTGATGATTCAGGGATGTTCCGGGCGGCGGTCCCAAGCGGGGCGTCGACTGGGATCTATGAGGCTCTGGAGTTGCGAGATGATGACAAGGGGCGCTACCTGGGCAAGGGTGAGGACATCACCACCACCATCATCACACAGCAGCAGCAGCAGCACCAAGAATCTCAGAATTAACATTGTCACCACTATCAGCATAGATAATCAACAATACGGTAGAACCTCGGAGATCGAACGCACCAGAACTCGAACAAATCGGTGTTCGAACGATATTTCTGAAAAATGTTTGCCCCGGAAACCGAACGAAATTCGGAGGTCGAACGGGCAATCGCGACTTGAAAGAACCTGTACGGCTGAGATGCGTATGGCCAGTGTGCATGGCGCTTGCCCAGACAAGAGGTTTTACCACCTCCTCCTCCCCACCACCTTCCACTCAAGCCATCAACTCTCCTTACTACAGGTAAAGTGAAGTTCAATGTTCATTTATTTCATTTATTCCATATATTTATTCATTTATACTTGGTTCTTTCGGTAAAGTCACGTAGGTATAAAAATAAAAATAAATAAATCACGACGTTTCGGGCGCAATACAAGCGTCCGTCATCAGGTAAAGAACCAAAGAGTATGGGTTCCTACAGTCACGAAAGCTTCAAATCAAGATTTATTCATTTATTCCATGTATTTATTGTGTTTCTTTTTTTTGTATGATTTTATGCATGTAATTACTCTAAACTTCGTGTAAAAATGCTTTCTAATGAGAGATTTCTTGTGTCTGGAAGCAATAACATTAACTCTTATGGAGAAAATTAATTCGGTGTTCGAACAAATCGGTGTTCGAATGGCCTTCTGGAACGAATTAAGTTTGATCTCTTGGGTACCACTGTATCATCACTATATTGCGTCAGAGTTTCCCAAACATAAGTAATTGCAATACACCATGGTACATCTGTTTATGTTTACCGGTCTTCTTTGTTCAAGTAAAAATGAAGTTGTTATAAGCAGTGCACGTCTATTGATTGCTAAACATGTCCCAATTGACATAGAGAGTGCTGATTCAAATTAAAGATGCTCTCTACTTAACGTGTGGCACACACACACAACAACAAACAACAACACACACGTACACATATATACGCATACAAGATGTTGCTCTTGTTTTGAATTTGTACTCTCTTATGTCGCACGGCACACGTTCAGTAAGCATCAGGCACGTTCGGTGTGCAGTGCTCTAATTTGTATTTGAATGAAGAAGGCTGGTACACATGGGTGGGTTTTGAGGACTGGACTTTGGGTCACCCTAATCTATTGTCACCAGTTTTGTAGAGAGGTCAACATTAAAAGTACGTGTGGTACTCGACGGGGTTTCAGACAGGTGGACTTCAAAAAAGCTACGGGAAAACAGGTTTCTAGACTTTCGATACAGATCCGTGACACGGGACGATAAACATTCACGGAAGTGTAGAGTAAGCAGTTACAAATTCAGAACAGGATGCGGCAAGAACGCGTTGCAGACGCAGTCGGGAAGAGGAGGCTGCGATAGGTGGAGCACATGTGCTTGATGGAGGAGGTCAGGTGACCGAGACGGGCATTGCAGTGGCACCCAGAGGTCGACAACCTTAGGAGTAAACCTAAAGCCAGACGGCGGGAGACTGTGGCCTTTGTGAATGGTGTTCAATTTGGCATCAGCTGTAGTATGTATGTATGTTGAACTTCATTCGCACCGTACGCAGCCAACCACGCTAATCGGAGGTGCGGGGAAGGATAACAAACTAAATACTAAAAGCAGGTCTAAAGAAATTAGTTTTCAATCTATATTTAAAAGTACATAGCTCCAGTGGCTTCCTGATATCGGAAAGAAGAGCGTTCCATATGGATGCAGAAGCGCATCTGAAAGCGTGGGAATATATATATATCAAAAGGAAGTTATCGCGAAGTGATAACCATCACAATAAAAAAAAAATTAATATACAAAATGAAGTGTCATTGCTTCCAACAACAGCAACGTCGTGTTTAGCATTGTTGATAGGTAGGTTAGTGACAGTTATTGAAACCAGATGAGAGCCCACAGAGACTGAAAGTCAAAGGAGACCTGAATCACGCAATAATAAAGCATGCATGTGAATAAATAATCAAATATAGCTTATAGGTTCCGGATATCAAACACTACAGAAAAAAAGCAATAGAAATACAGTTTATGTGTTTTAGTGGTGGTGCACTGCGCTAACCACGAGTTCGATTCACGGCCATGGCTAACACCGATGGTCAGTGCTATCTGATCCAGTTTTACCCCCTACTGCCCCCACTTTACCAACCTGCAATGACCAGCGTGGTGAAGTGTGCTCAAACAAACTCCATGACTGACATGGCATCGGGAAGCCTTCACGCAGCAGTGGATTGACAACAGGCTGTAAAATGATAATCATGATTAATATGCTTAACAATGGCATATGGTATGATACAAAAGCGCTCACGTTCATAATCTTCCAGATAATGATCCCATTTCACGTGTAAGGCTGGAGGAAATCGTTTTCTAAACGTGTTCCTCCGTGTGCCGGTGTCACGTTGTCTGCAGGTGTTCTTCAGGCTGTGTCGCACATCAATGACACCATCGCCCCGGCCCTCCTCAGCCAGGTGGGGGTCTCTTACCAGTCCAATTTAACAGCGCACATAACCCCGCTTTGCCCCGTGCCAAAATTCAGCCGCGGGTACTCGGCTCGACAGAACGCGCCCGCCAACCGCGTCATAAAATAACTCCTGCGGTCTGTGTTTGTTTTTATTGTTTGCAAGCCGCGTATCGCTATAGCAATATAATGAAATGCCCTCTGATGTTTTTGCACGACGTTTTGCAATAAAGTATTTGGGTGGCCCCATGGAATTCGGGTAACGTAACTGTTTATGGCTGCGTTGCTGGTTCGTGTTACGTACTTTTTGCTGTGTGGCGCTGTTGTGCTGTGTGGCTGCTGCTTGCTTGCAGAGCTTCAGTGTGGTGGAACAGGAGGCGATTGATCAATTCATGCTGGACCTCGATGGAACTGAGAACAAATGTGAGAAATACAGATTCATTGCCTTTGAGTACATGTCATCATCATCAGCATCGCTTCCACTGAAATCCATTCACCTTTCAAACCGTGATGCGATGGATTTTTGAGATTCAGAATTGCAATTTGGGGCTGGAGGGATGACGTGAACCCATTCAATGTGTATTGAAATGTATCATTATTATTTGATTCATTGGATTGGATTATGAGCTTAATCATTTATATAACTACATTGATGCATTGTTCCACTTATAATAATCCTCCATAAGAAACTATCCATACATTCCAAAGCAGGAACCTGGAGTAAAAGTCACGACTCAATAAGGCTTTCCTAATGGTCTATTGTTATATATTTACGTTTTTGGAAGTAGTTTTAATTATTTACAATATAGTTTGTCGATTGGCATGTTGCTTATGGTGGGGGGAAATGTGGGTACTCCCAGATCTCCTGGCCAGCGTGGAATAGTAGGCCAAACCCCTCTGGCGTGTCCTTCGAGAGCTCCCTTAAGTGGAGGCCTTTTCACCAACTTTTATATCACGGCTGTAAAGTCAGCATTGCACGAATTAGGATTGCAATAGAATCCCTTTGAATCAGATTGCACAAAACAATGTTCCATTGCAACGCATGCTCAAGCCAACGATTGAAGTTTCTGGTTGTAGCAACACTAGCTAGAACCGCCAGGGTGTGCAGTAGCAGCGTTTATTACTTTGATGAGGGCGCCGCGGTGGCTAGAAGTTGACTACCTCGCCTGGTATACAGGAGGTCGTGACTTCGATCCCGACCCTGACGCCTTATATTTGGAGTTTGCACGTTCTCCCTGTGGTCGCGTGGATTTTTTTTCTCCGGGTTCTCCCGTTTTTCCCTCCACATGTATAAACACGCGTTTAGAGTAGTTAGCTGCTATGCATTTCTGCATGACGATTTATCGTTTGTGGCCAGATCGCTTCTCAACAAGAGCTATGTAGCTCAGTGGGCCCTACCTGGTGAAATAGAAAGTTTAGTTTTTAGTTCAGTTTCGTACTTGCAGCTCACTGTCAAATCTCAATGGGTTTGTTATGCAAGGCTGCATTTTTGTTTTACTGACTGACGAATCCTATGATGTCATGCACACACAGCCTTGTTTAACATCTGCACACTCATTCCATGCTCCCTACGCACTGGTTGCATGCCGATTGAAGCCACGCGCACATTTATTGCGGGGGGAGGGGGGTTGTTTCTTACGAGCTGCAACGTTACATGATTGAACACCAACAATGTCAGGGGTAATTATATTATCACAGTTATTGCTTCGTAGATAACGTCGCCTGTGCTGCTTTGCTATGTTGTGGTTCTGCAGAGGGCAGTGCAGTGCAATATACTGTTGTGCTGTACTACGCTTCCAAATGTATGCTCCCCCTTCCTTCACCAACCCACACTGGCTCGTGTGGTGAAATATGGTCAACCAACCCCCTTGACCCACACAGGTGTGGGGCTGCCCTTGTCCAGTAGTGGATTGACAAAAATGGATAGTAGATTCACTAGGTCATATCTAGGGAGGTATTTATATTTCCAATAATTTAAATTGTTCACGTTGTCATTGGCACATTCAAAAACTACCATCACTAACGACGGCATTCATTTGAAAGGTGAAAGCCAAACGTTAGGCATACTCAAATGAATGTTGGCCGATATCTCCTCTATGGGCACTCCTGAATCGGGAGGAGGGTATTCCACATTGCTGCTGGCAGGATCGGCATAATCCAGATAGCAGCCACAGTCATATAATAATAAACAAGGAAGGAAAACCATGCGTTTGCATAGATTCAGTTACACTTGCCTGCACGCATTAGTCATCGAGGGCATTTAATTAACGACAATAACGTTACGTTTCAAGCTGAACAAATGAAGATGTCACATGTTACATTGTGTGACATTGAGAGGTGACGTCACACTTAATTACATCGCCCTGGGCCAGCAAAGGTCAATCTTTTTATCGCTTTTAGGCAACCATTGTATTAATATTGATGGTTTTCTCTGGGGTAGTAAGTCCTGACTCGAAACAAAATTGTATTGAAACATTTTGTTTGGATTTGATTATATTTACAAAAGTTACCACCCCCCCGTTCCCCCCCTATCCCCCCTGTTCCCCTCCCCCACCCCGATTATTACAGACAAAGCTAATGCATAAACGATTTGGTTATGATTCAAGAGAATTGAATCATAATAACAAGTCGCATGAGTCAAATGCCAGTGAATGTGTGTTGTCGTTGAAGAAACCGTTAAATATAAAACGACACTAACAACTTAATAAAAAAATTCAACTGAAGAGGAGATTTTAAAAAATGTGGAGTTAACATCTCACTCATGATGATGATGATGATTTGTTGTTGTGGAACGGGCAGCCAAGTTTGGAGCGAATGCTGTGCTTGGCGTCTCGCTGGCCGTGTGCAAGGCCGGGGCGGGCGAGAAGGGGGTTCCGCTGTATCGGCACATCGCAGACCTTGCCGGGAACTCTGAAGTCATCCTGCCTGTCCCGGTGGGCAACTGTACAAGCATCTGCGTGTTGTATTATACGTACATCTGTGTGTGCCCGTGGGTTTCTGTTTAGTCTAAAGTTGTTTTGCGCACTCCGATACGAGCGTGGCGACCCGCTTTCGATTCCAGCATATGGCTAACATCCGTGGGGAACATTTGAATATTTGAACCGAGGAGGACTTAATCTGGTGCCATGTGTAAACATCAGCACTGGGGAGGCAAAGGCAGCCCGGCGTGGTGGCGGCCACACCACCCCGTTGTGCGCCGTGATGGCCTTCATGGGTGCTTCCTCACAGCATTTTCCCATAACAGAATGTAGAAGTTGCCTGGAGGATTTTTGTCTTGTGAACAAAAAAAAATCCCTAATTTTTTTCCCGAATGTACTCTCGGCATCATGTCATGAGAGGGAGTATCCATTTTGATCTCTCGCAGAACAATGCAACCCTAAAATGTATAGATTGGCCTACAGAAGCGAATATCACAGAGCTACCGCTAAGATCCCTTCAATTTGACCTCTGGTCCACACAGTAGAGGACACGAAGAGTAATTTATTTGCCAAATGACAGTCGAATTATATATTTTGTTCTCAGAGCTGGAGTTTATCAAAATAAAGTCCTGAACCAAATTTAATATGATGGGATTTTTCTTTGCGTGCAGTCATTGGTGACTGGGCTGAGATGAGCAACTCACTATATAAAAAAAAAACAATTTGAGAACACAGTATAATCAGTTGGCTGCCTGGATTATTCGTGTATATGTGTCTCAGCATTACCATTACAATTCAGGACTTTTATACAACCACTTCTGAAATGGTATTTTTTGTCTGTCGATGGGTAATTTTTTCTCATCTGTATGTGTGTCCAAGTGTTTTAATGTGTTACCCTTATCATATGTGTGTGTGCATATGTTCACGTTTGCATCTTATTTTTTAAAATACATATTTATGTCCGCATTTGTTCATGCATTTGAATTGCCGAGAATTTAATTGGCGTTGGCGGGTCTTTGAGCGTGCATCGATAGCTCAGTTCACATTGACATTTTTACATCTGCGTCTGTGTATCAATGTCCGAGCGTGTGTTTGTGCTTTCTCTGCATATGGGGAGCAGTAGTGCAGTGGATAGCACGCTGCGCTACGAACCCGGTGACTCGAATTCGATGCCTGCTCATGGCCAACACTGGTGACGATTATCTGAACAGGTCCTGGGCCTCACCTAGGTCGACTTAGCCTCAAATGAGTACCTGGCGTGGTGCGTAAACATCGCCACTGGGGAGACAAAGGCGGTCGGGCGTGGTGTTGGCCTCCCACACCCTCATGTGCCGTGCTGGCCTTCATAGGTGCTCGTGGACAGTACTTGCCCCAACAGTCTATTAAGGCTATACGGGGGACTTTTGTCTTTGTCTCTACATGTCCATGTCAGCACCCACCGCTGTGCTCAAATACATTTGCCCATTGGCTCCTGTCCCATGTAGAGATGGGATATCAGACTATTGAAGTAAAATCACTCTCCTGATTATTTGTTCAATTACCCGACTAATCGGACGACACAAAATAGTTCCAAACATGTGCCGGCTGGACGGGAGGTGATGGGCGTGGCTAAGTCATCGGCATCATCATTGATCTTTTTCACACTGTGCGTTGCTCGTTGAAGGGTTTTCTACCTTCTGTAAGCAGGATGAAAGGGGCGGGTTGTGGCAGTCAGAGAGGATGGCTTTGGGGGCAGGGTGTCTCCTGATTGGTGAGGGGTTCGGATTGACAGGAGTGCATGGAGCTTGGATAAGGGGAAGCAGGTGACAGGAGAGGAACGAGTGGGAGGAGTGAGGGACACGCGTGTTGGCCGTGCGGCATACTGAGTACGAGTTCAAACATTTTATTTGCTGTAGTGAGGGCCATTGGGGCCTGGAATGAGCTAAGTAGTGACAGAGGACATTTTTGGTAACGGAGCAAAGTGTCAGTTGGAAAAGAAACATAGCGTAGGGTGTCAGATATTCAAACTGCATCGCGGCCGTGGTGGTGTGCTCAGGTGTATTGGTGAGGCGGCCATTTTGTCGTGGAGGTGAATTTTCGCTTCGTCCTTTTTGGATGAGGCGGCCATTTTGAAGAGGACAGTCTGAAGTTGGAGTCAGGAGTGTTGGTGACGTCAGATTGCTGGCTTACGAGCATAACCACCTGGAGTCTTATTGTGGACAGCGGTTATGTTCACCTGTTCACCAAAACCATGAAAGTAGCCCTCCCAAATGCTGAAAACTGCGGGGGTTTCGACAGCTGGGGACACTTGTGGGGAAGAAGGGAGTTGACCACCTGAGGGCTGGGAAGTTGTCGTTGGAATGATTTATTTAATCTATTCCAGAACTGGGGGAACACTTGATACGTACCCTGGATGGTTACTCCGCAGTGGTCACCTGTCGGCGTTCTTATTTGAAAAAATCCATGAAACCGGAATTTGTTGGGTTGCTGTAGGATTGTGTTGCTTGTTGCTGTTATGATGGTGATTTGAGTTGCTATATTTGCTGGTGATATTTTCACTCCCCCGGGAAGTAGCAAACTTGCAACTATTAAATGATTTAATAACTGTATTCTATGGGTCTTTTGGTAAAGCCACGTATATAGACAAATTATAAAACTATCACGACGTTTCGATCGCAACACAAGCAATCGTCTTCAGGTGTATTTTTCTATCTACATGGCTTTGCCCAAAGACCCATAGAATATGTATTCCTGCAGTCACGAAAGTGAAGATTTAAGACTGCAAAAAAATAGTATTCAAATAAACGCCGTTATTTTTCAGTATACTAACAGTGATCCTTGTTATACTCCGCACACGGTCATTGGGTGCATCGTGTAAAACGGGTCCCACCATAAAATAAACCACAGCAGTGCGGGTACTAGGGTCGGCTATGGACCGAAACCCGCAAAAGCTCATGTCGCAAAAGGACGCACCATTACACGGGTGTCATTAAATTGAGCAAATTCACAAAAAAAGGTGGCCTGGTACAAATTTTGAATGATCAATCGGCTTAATAATCGCCCCAGCTCTCATCCAGATGGGAGACCTTAACCAATCGCCAATCCCCCGCCTCCCTCGTGCCTCCTCCAGGCATTCAACGTGATCAACGGCGGCTCCCACGCCGGGAACAAGCTGGCCATGCAGGAGTTCATGATCCTGCCCGTCGGGGCGGAGAGCCTCTCAGAGGCCCTGCGCATGGGTGCCGAGGTCTACCACTCCCTCAAGGCCGTCATCAAGAAGAAGTATGGCCAGGACGCGACCAACGTGGGCGACGAGGGCGGCTTTGCCCCCAACATTCTTGAAAACATGGAGGGTGAGTGGCGAGTGCTGAATGAGGGTCCTGTGAAATCCTTCCTGCGTCCCAGTGGTGTAGCTGTCGAGTGTGCAGGCAGTGCAACATCACTGGCCGGAGGGTCTCAAGCACTTAGCTTGGACGAGGGGCCCCAATTCATGTTTTGCACCAGGACTTATTCCATTGCTGCATCCCCAAATCCCTCGCCCTCAAAACGCCGGATGATCCAAATGACGCTGCCAAACTCCTCACTCCCGCACTACTAAGCAAGATCACGTCACCCCAATGGTCGACTGATGCACTCACCCCACTGGCTCTTAATCCAGTCCCAGATTAACTTTAAATTCACCCTCATTGTTGTCAACATCCACCATAGAGTTTAACACATCGGCTTTCGCGACCAATATCCATAATACAGTTTTTTTGTTGGGTTAGATCGTGATCCCTAAAAAAAACCTATATTATGGATCCCCCATAGACTACCCCTGGATAGTTCTACCCTCTCAAATCGTTCTGTTCCCCTTAATGAGCCCTCCGCTCCAGCAAGCAAGGCCTTCTGTCAAAGCCCCCGCTCATCCTTCACTCGGTGGGAGGCCACTCCTCCTCTGCTGCTGCCCCCGTGGTTTCTAACCTCCTCCCCCAAGGCCATCGGTGATCTCATCTCCCTGCCCCCATTCAAGTCCGGACTTGAGGCTTTTCTCTTCTCTGGTTACATCTTCTTCCGTACAGCGTCTTGAGATGTGGTTGCAGTTAATAATAATTACGATAATGACAACAATAAACGGCAATTTGTCAATTTCACTGTGGGAAATCTCCCCGATGTGGAAGTTCATGGTGGTGGTGTGGCCAATACTTTACCATGTGGTTGAATGTGGACTGAGGAAGGGGGTGCCCAGAACACAGACATCTCTCGCCGCTGATGTTAGCCTCAATTAAATTAACCCCAAGTGAAATTTTAACTTGAAAATATTATGGTTACTGTTGGCATGGGACATGGAACAGCAATCATCTCAATTTGCATTCCTTGAGCCTTCAGTGGAAATTCTACAATTGATGGTTGATGGTAATATGCGCCATGCACGTGCATTGCCTTGTTGCCTTGTCAGCCCTGGACCTCCTCACCCAAGCCATCGGCAAAGCTGGCTACACCGACAAAATCGTCATCGGCATGGATGTGGCCGCCTCCGAGTTCTACCGCGACGGGAAATACGACCTGGACTTTAAGTCCCCCGCGGACCCAGACCGCTACATCTCTGCCGACGAGCTGGCAGACCTGTACCGCACCTTCATCAGCGACTACCCAGGTGGGTGCGGTGGGCACAGCTGTGGAGGCCAGTGGCTCATAGGTGAGCGAGCCTGGGGTTATGGTGCCATCTCACCTGCAGTTTATATTATGTGGCCAGATTACCCCTGCATGTGCCCGATCACGTCAGATCTCGGAAGCCAAGCATGGCTGCGACAGGTTTGTGCTTGGGTGGGTGGCCACCAGGGCTTTCCACGTGTTGCAGGCGTGGGGATGTGAGGTGGCCAAAAGATGGTAGTGTTGAGTGTCACCTGCTCGTATCTGTGGATTTCTCCAGGTTCTCCGGTTTTCTCCCACATGAAGCCAAACACTCAGTCATGGAATTGTCCAAATATTCCCAATGGCAGATCCTGCTGAAAACGAGTTTTCAGACTCCGATAGGCTTCCCTGGGTTAGTAATTAAATGGGATATTCTTTGGGTCTTTCGGTAAAGTCACGTAGAACTATTTTTTTTTACAAAACTACTTTACCGAAAGACCCAAATAATATAAATTCCTGCAGTCACGAAAGCTTTAAGTCAAGATTTAATTAAATGAGATATTTGGAAAAAAGAGGTACAGATTAGTGGGCACATGTACAGACATTATGACGTCAAGACACCATGTGACTCCAACAGAAAATCTAGTTTCAGAAAACTGTCCAAGTTAATTTGCAAACAATCACTTATCCATACATCTCACTACCCAGTAACTCTCTTACCCTTCCATTTAATCTCCATCCATAAACTCACCAGTGCTCACCGACCAGCATGGCCGGGGGTCTTGCGCTGTGATAAATGCCCTTCCATCCGCTCGCCCACCACCTCCGTAGTGGTGTCCATTGAAGACCCGTTTGACCAGGACGATTGGGAAGCATGGTCCAACTTTACTGCCAACGCTGGCATTCAGATCGTTGGCGACGACCTGACCGTCACCAACCCCGCACGCATCCAGACCGCGGTGGATGTCAAGGCCTGCAACTGCCTGCTACTCAAGGTCAACCAAATCGGCAGTGTCACGGAGTCCATCAAAGCGTGAGTGTTGTCCGCCAACCCCGTGTGACCTATAGGCAGTCCAACTGTACCAGGTCCCATAATCTGATGGGGCCTAGGGCTATGAAGAGGAGGCAAATTGGGCATTGGGGGGTGGACCCCGTGGAATTCTTTGCACCAGGGCTCATGCCAATCATGCTAGAGCAATTAAGTCGGGCACCTAGCTCCACTTTGGAGTTTTCGTGGCCCAGTAATGCAGCCATGGGAACCAGGCCAGGCCCAGTTGCCTAATTTGTAAAACCGGACCGGTTCGCTTCAAAGTGTGGCCATGGAAATACAGCACGATTTTTTGACCTCATGTTGCGGGTGTCGGCAGATGCAAGCTGGCGCAGTCCAACGGCTGGGGAGTCATGGTGAGCCACCGCTCGGGCGAGACCGAGGACACCTTCATTGCTGACCTCGTCGTGGGGCTGTGCACTGGTCAGGTGAGCCATTCACTGGGTGGGTGGTGTGGCGCGTGATGAGCGGTGGTGGGAAGTGGTCAGCGGTGGCGAGCAGGAGGGAACGGCTCTGTTGGAATCTTCGTGTTCGTGTGTGTGCAGATTAAGACAGGTGCTCCGTGCCGGTCTGAACGTCTGGCCAAGTACAATCAGCTGATGAGGTGCGTCAGCTTTCATCATTTTTTACCACCACGCTTGAACACCATCGTTGTCCACGCGAACATTTTTTCCATTATGAATCGTTCGCAATACGTAGTATGTTATTTGATAACATCACTTACGAAATGTACATAAATATATGCGAGGCGAGCAGCAGCACAGTGGTTAGTGCACTGCCCTCACCTTGGTGAACAGAGTTTGACTCCCATCCATGGTTAACAGTCCTGGGTGCACACCTTCACCAAGCCACGATGACCATCGTGGTGGAGTATGGGCAAACGACCCCATGGTCGACACGTCATGGGGAGGCCTTCTAACAGTTATATTAGTGATGTCCTCCAATTGTATTTTCTTATATTTCACAGTGTCAAACTTGAAAAAATAGATCCATGTTTCACTCTGGTCTTACATGGTTAAACATGTCTCCATCTAATATGATGTTCAGTGGTGTAGTGTAATAAAATTGCGTTTTGGGGCGATAGCTCGTCATAATCTGTCACAATGGTGGGTTTGACACTCCCAACAATGTTCTAAAGTCAATTTGACCATATTTTATGTCAATCAGTGTCCGCTTATAAGATTTAATTTGAATGAACACTACATTTACATGTACTTGAAGTCGAATATATAAAGGATATATAAACATTTATACGATTTCTAAAAGCCCAAAGTGATGTTATTAGTCGTGCAATGAGGCAGGTGGGCCGTGTGAAGGCTACCAACTCCCTACCATTGTCAATACAACTGTGATATTCCATTAACCGTGTCAGAACAGCAACTGGTCGCTACACACACCACTTGCATAACGGACCATGTCGCGAACAACTGCATTCTACGCCCGTATATTATTCACGCAAGTCCTGAAACTATCGGATCGCTCGCAATCTTAAACCTAGATGTATAATCAGCACCTGCTTGCCATACACTAGAAGAAGACTTATTAACAATAAAACCAACTGTTGCTTCTCCATTGCAGGATTGAGGAAGAGCTGGGGAAAAAGGCGCAGTTCGCCGGCAGGAATTTCCGCCACCCCCTGGCTTGAAAATCCGTAATGCAAGCCCTTCCGTAGAAACGTGCACGTTGAAACCTATAGCACCTCCTACCTCCCCCTGTTACCATCACCTCTCAGTTGTGCTACCCACCACGTATTCACTCCCCAAGTAACACGAGTAGCCAGAGGTGGGACAAAGTCATTGTTATGCAAGTCCAAGTCGAGTCTGAAGTCATCAAATTCATGACTCGAGTCTGACTCGAGTCCAAGTCACATGACTCGAATCCACACCTCAGAGGTGGGACAAAGTCATTGTTATTCAAGTCCAAGTCGAGTCTGAAGTCATCAAATTCATGACTCGAGTCTGACTCGAGTCCAAGTCACATGACTCGAGTCCACACCTCTGCGAGTAGCACAGAATCCACGTGGCGGCTTGAAGAAAACTGAAGTTTCTGGTGACCGTGTTAGAAGCAATGGCGTGGCGGGGGTGCATGAGGAGAGATTACCAGAAGTGGCCCGAATGGGGGAAAAATGTATCCGGAGCGTTTAAACATATGAAACTAAAGCGAAAGTGACAAATAGATAATTAAATAGGGAAAGATTGTTGGTCAAGGCGGATAGGATTTGCTGAATAAGTTTGCTTGGAGTTGTTAATATCGAGGGCTCAAGAAAGGTGTGCATTGGCTTGTGACACAGAACCTACTAAACAAACACCCAGATCGCCGATAGCTGATCAGTTGAAAATGTTTATGAAATGTGAGTAATAGCTGAAATATGGAACAAATGTGAAACTAGGACTTAGACATGAAAATATAAACTGAAAAATACTCATCTGAACAACGTAATAATTGGCTTCAATTTTGAGAACACTTGATGGTAGTTATGATGGTTTAGCCTGTTTAGTGCAGTTGGCTTGTTGGACCCCGAGAGGGATGGGAGCATCGTGTTTAGTCGGTTCATGTTGTTCAGTGAGTTTGCTGGACCGTGAGAGAATGTGAGCATGGAGTCTGCAGGCCAGAGCCCTCCTCTCTCACCTCCTCCTGAAGAATTGGGCCAAGGCGTTTGAGTGCAAACTTGAGTGAAGGAGCTGGCCGAGGGTACAGAGTGCTGGCGAGGTGTGGTGGGATCAGTGGCTTTGGTCATGATGACATATATGTATGTACGTATGTATGTATGACATCTTGACTTGAGAGTGTAGTTGTGACGACTCCTGTTATGAAAGAAACAAAGCCCAGACACGTGCACAGATGTTATATACAGAGATATACGTGAATGTTATGTAAAGCTACTACAAAAAATAATCGTCCGACAAGCCTTTTAAGTCTAATGGCTCATCAAGTTAATTGTGATCCCACGTCCATCCCGTTTGTGAGTGTTTTCTTCGTGTAAATGTGTACGTGTGTAAAATAAAATGAAGTGCTGAAGAAACCTTCCGTGTAACCAGCGAGTCCCTTCATCATGCTACACTGTGTCACCGCGCACAGCTACGTGATGACATCCGAATCCCACACGCCTTCCCTGCACCCACCCTCCCATGCATATGTGCAGGCAGTGATCGTTTTAAGAGGTTTTTTTTGGGTTAGATCGCGTAAATATATACATGTGGCGTTAAAACCCACCACCACCCGACACAGCCAAGTAGTAAGAGGTTGTCACGTAAACAGAACGTGGCCAATTCGTCACTAGTACAGCACACCCGTGTGTTGGAGAGCCAAAGCACAACATTTACAATCTGAGTACGACGTTTCGCCAGTAATTACAACGAGCTTTATCAGGCGGCAGCCAGCTTTTTGGAGAAGTCTAACTGTTTCGTTTCTTATATAGAGGCGTAGATGTGGTGACCACGCTTCTGCGTTCTTGTGCCACGTGGGGGGCGGGGATTACTGAGGCAACGTACATTATGCGAGCCCTTTGATCTTGTCTTTCCTGTCTATTGTGTTTATTAAAATAGCCGTACCGACGGTAATCTCTCTTGAAGTATGCTGCCGTTTGTAGGCATGCATTTAAATAATGTATTATTTGATTATTTGCTTCCACGCAGCACTAAGGCGGTAGCTATCCCAACGGTTAAACTTATTTTTTTTCTTTACATATTGATAGATTCTCTAATTCGTCTTGGCCAGTAGTAGCTGGTTTTGCACAGAACTTCAACATTATCAACATCCATTGAGTGTCCTAGTTGATGACTTGGCAATCATTGCCAAGTTATCAATTCCAAAGGAAGAGTATACCTGATCAAACCAAGGGCATTAAAACCACCAAGACTTTATGGGCTACCAAAAATTCACAAACCCGATGCCCCATTAAGAGCCTCGTTAGTACAATAGGCTTTGCCACGTACGAATGAGCACAAAACGTAACGAAACAAATACAGCCCTTCATCGGTAGGACCTCTTCGTTAATCAAAAACTCTGAACATCTCGTAAATATAATGAAAGATTTTAAGTTTAACCCTAATGATATTTTCGTAAGTTTTGATGTGACTGCTCTGTTCACGAGGGTTCCGGTCAACGAGTCAATTAGATTACTCGACACTCTGGTAACGAACAAAGGTCTAGCCAAAGATATCCCAAGACTAGCTAAACACTGTCTAAAGAACACTTACTTCTTGTGGCATGGTGACTTCTATAAACAAAAGGAAGCAGCAGCAATGGGCTATCTTTTGTCTCCTGTGATAGCGAATTTGTACATGTTTAGTGAAATCGGGGATGTCACTGTATGGTGCCGGTCCAGAAGGGCCGTGCCGTTCGATGTTCCTACATCGTGGACAGCACCATGTGGGTGGCTGTGTGTAAAACCAGCCCTAGCGGGGCTTGGTGAGCACTGGGATAGTGCGGGCACCACGCACAGCATGTGGTGGGGGCTCCCACGAGGGGGAGTGGGTGAGTGTCGGCCCAGGGGCAGGGTTGCCCCGGGCCATGGCACTCTGGTTGACCCCGTAGACATGTGATCCGGAGTGTCCACACAGGGGGCCCCAGGTGGGGGGGGGGGCTAGTGGGTGATCACGTGTCCGAGGAGAGCTCTTGAGAAGGATCGAGAGGGAACGAGAATGCTCGAGAAGGCGGGCGGGGGCCGAGGGTGGAGCGGCCCCGACCGTAGGGGGATATTAGGCGGGTCCCTGAGAGGGACCGGGGTCGCTGCATTCTACAAGCTGGAAGCTCAACACCTACAAGTGGGAAACTCGACGTTTCAAGCTGGAAGCTCTTCGTCTTACGAGGCAACCACGTGGTCGGAGACCCGAGTGAGGGTCCTACCCTTCGTAGCAGTAACCCCTCTGGAAAGCGTAGTTAGCTGGGTGGTCACCACCCTAGGCTGTATCGGGTAAAGGGGCCGTTACCCCTTTGAATTACAATGAATGTGTTGCCTCTAAAAGAAACAACGTCTTCGACTCAGTTGGACTCACTACACATGGAAGATTATGAAACAAAAGCAATAGCTTCAAGCACACTAAAACCATCTGCTTGGTTTAGATATGTGGATGACACATTGGTGGTCTGGTCACACGGCAAAGATAAACTGAACGCATTCTAAATCATCTTTACTCGCAAAACCCATTCATCCAGTTCACCATGAAAGTGGAAGCTGACAGAACTCTACCATTTCTGTATATTCTGCTCGGACGGGGTCAAAATGGTAAAATAACACACAGTGTTTACCGAAAGAAAACGCATACTGACGCCTATCTTAATGCAGTCATACCATCACCCTGCACAAAAACCTGCTCTTATCAAGACGCTCATTCATTGAGCTAAGAAGTTAACGACACATTTATATATTTACGAAATCTAACCCAAAAAAAACCTCTATTATGGATATTGATCGCGAAAGCATACGTGTTAAACTTAAAGTGATCGTTTTCATGAATTACGTTTTTTTAAATGTAGCTCTGTGATGTGTTTTTTGGGTCACACAGCATGCTGAATGACCCGTAAACACAGAGGACTTTACAGCACAACCACGAAAACTTTGCAGTTTCAAAATGTCATACTCGCAGAAGTACATATTGAACATAAAGCACTACTTTCATGGGATAATATTTGATTTGTACATTAACTTGTTCAATGCAATGAATTATAGACGTTCGATAATTATCGGTTTCTGATCATTGTCCAATTCCAAATCAACATGAAGATGGCTTTGTGTAACCTGTTGGGCACAATACCCAGGGGCAATGTTAAAACGAGGCCATCAGCATTGAAACAGTGGCAAAATATTTATCCGTGATGTTTCAGCGTTGTTGAATCGGTGATAAGTTCAGTGCAAAAGTTACATTGTTGAAGCATTGACAGTGAAAGTAGACTCGCATATCCAACTCTCAATCTTAAAACACAAATGAGATGCCAACGCACGCAGAATAGTGTACAATTTCGTTGGATTTTTTTTATTTCACACCGACACAAATAAATACGCAAACTTCGTACAAATCTTACACAGGGCCGCCCCGACAGCGGTCAAATAGGGCCGCTGGATTTTCCACAATCGAGTTTTACTCAACACCCCTTAAAAACATTTAAACGTGGAAGGCTATACTTACCGTATCAGACATTACAACAGCTTTGGCTGGAACGAGCGAAGCAAAGGACTACAACCGATAATGTTTCCATTTAAACAATAAAAAGCTAAATAAGGCTCGGTTAGTGCAGTAAAGCGAGTTAATTTATTCCATCAAGCATCACCTTGGCGATAATGGCAGAGCCAGGATTTTCAGGTAGGTGGGGCAACCCCTCCAGCAATGAAAAATGACAGGAGTTGTTAGAAAGTAAGGACTTGTCCCTTGCTTTTTATTCGACGCGTGTGCGGCGATGGCGCAGCCATCGATCGAGGGTCGAATTCCAACCGTGTGTGATCGGCATCGCGCTCGCTGAAGGTGTTTGCCTTCAGGGAAGTCGTGTACTGTATACGCAACTGCGCACAATTCTGTGAGTCGCTTATAGCTGCTTTGCCGTTACTTGTTGCCAATTATGGACTCAGACTATTGTCCTATCATCTCATAGAGTCCCTGGCACATAATAATATGCTACACAGTGGCAGTGGGGGTCGCAAAATGCCGATTACTAATTAACCCCAATGATCCGATCGAAATTAGGGATTTACATCGGATCATTGTGGGGGGGGGGGGGGGGCACGTGCCACCCACCCCACTGGCTCCGCCAGTGCTTGACGATGCGGTGTGTTGAACAAGTTCACTGAATCATGGACTTGGGAAAATCGATGGTACGCAAGCTTCAAAGGGAAAAAAATGCATCACGACCGAGGCTGAGCTGAGCCACAGATATTTAGTTTTCAATGTTAACCAATCCTGTTCACAACTACGAGAGAGCAATTTCACGACGTGCACTTTTGCGCACACGAGTTGCTCGGCGGATCCGAGAAGGCTGAAACGTTGCAGTCGTGGGAAATTGCGTACTGTAATTTTGAAGACTAAAAAAACATTCACTTTGATTAATGGTTCGGGCCACTTTGGGGCAGTGGCATGACCTTCTGGTAATGAAATAAAAGAGTGGTGTATATAATGAGTGCATAGTTGCATTGATGAGAAGGGGCCAAATGCGTGTTTCAATTATGAAAAAGAGCCTCATTTGACTCCAAACTTTAACACATTATCCCAGACGCATCCACCCTGGGTCACATATGGGAATGTGGTCTTTGGTATAAAAGGCAAATTGTATCGGTCCCCTATGACCCACGCCATCTAACAATGGGGTGGGATGGTCTGCGTCTAGTATGAGCTGCCACCTGCAAGCAAGCACGATGGCTCTTTTTTGTGCCACCAGATTCCTTAACGTGACTGCGAAACGTTTTACGAAATGAAAATGCCGCTGGGAGACTGTTAAATCGAGCGATTCGGAGGCCGGGATGGTAGATGGCACAAATTTCATCGAGCGTGTGCGACTCTTGTTCATGTTTTTGTTTTTTGTTTGTTGCGGTTGCACCCGATTCAAGAGCCAAATGGCTCACAGGGCTATACCTAAATAAATGAAACTGAAAACTGAAACTGACTCCCAATCTGCAGAGTAAAAACTGTGGCTCAGCGGATGGTAGGTAGTACGGGAAAAAACACGTTGCTGACTTTCCTATCATTTGTAAATAACACTGCGGCCTTAATAGGGGAAATATATTTAATTTGGGAATGTGAATTCTTCTTAACATATTTGCACTTGTCCACTACTGCCAATGCAGCATCACCAAATAATGAAAGTTTGACCCTCTGACGGAATGTTATTGTCTCGAATGTACGTGGAGTTTCTCTGCGTGCTGCCGTTTCCTCCCCCGCGTGAACAAACGCCTATAAAGATTTGTCCAAAAATACCAGTTTGCAGATTTCTCCTCTCTTCGAGAATTATGCCATATTCCCTCTCTATTTTCATAATAGTTTTCATATATATAATAAAAAAGTAAAACGAAGCAAATAATAAAATAAGCTAAAA